AATAGAGTTACCTTCTTTTATTTCAAGAAATTAGAGTGCACATTATGTTTGAATTTGTCGGTTGATAGTATCTATAAAATGCGTAACTCAATTTGTCTATGCTCATGAGATCCAGTCGGATTAAAAAATATGCCTCAAGTTTGCGAAAAAGAAGCAGCAGCAACAGCAAAATCTTATCATCCGACCATGTGAGGCTGGCAGAAAAAGCAAATGCACCATATAAAAAAAATTGAAGATGTTTAAATGTAAATAGTATACAGATGTATTCGAAAAGAAAAATATTAAGCGAGTTGCTGCTCCATTAATGGTTAGAGGTACATTATCCACCTACCTTAGCAAAAGCCTTGGAGCCAGGATCAAGTACTCCAAACAAAGCTAAAATATTTAATCTAAAATCCGCAAGATAAATTCTAGGGGTAGTTATCATCCGGTCATTAGCCATGTCAATATCATATAAAGCCTATCCACTACAAGGGTTGACACTAAATGCCATGCAAATTTAATCGATCTTTAAAACCATGCTCCTATTCCTCAGCGAACTGATAAAGCACTTACGAAGCATAGCGGGTACAACTTTATTTACAACGAAGGACTGAAATTCATCACACAAAACGAGACATGAAACCCCGCAAGAAAGACAATACAGCAAATAATGCAATATTGCAGTCCTATTGTTGAATTCAAACGCCACACACTAGCCGTGGCGCAGCCGGCACGATTGTCAGTGTAATGTAGACAATAACCAACAAGATCGGTGGCAAATGCGTCTTTGGTGCCCAGAAGCCCGTGTAAGAGTGCCATTACAGCAGCTCTATCCTCTCAACCAGGTGTTTCTGTAGGATGAATTGTCTCGCAAAGAGGCATCGTGAGGCTTGTATTCCATGACATAATTATGAGGAAGCTTCAAGTGACGTTTAATTGAATCCCTCAGAGCCATCACGGCCTGGATTGAGAAAATTAAGAATATTATAAATAAAATCCATGCATGTTGCATGCACGTGCAAAGACATACAAGGCCAGTAATAATGCTAACCTGATGATCAGATGCATTGCGATTCCAGACACTCAATATATCCTCATTGAAACGAATGCTTAGCACTGCACCACATATGTTATCCCCATAATCGAGCTGGTCACCTACTAAGGCAAGAACCTGCACACAGTCAAGTATGCCTCAGAATCCCCAATAACCAATTTTTAGCCCCATGCAACGGTGTTTTGGCATTACCATGCCAGAAGATGAACTCTAATGATAATAAATGCCGACAGATCATTATTAAGATATAACCAAGCAAGAGAAATTTCTAGTATGATTAGGTCTGTCCATAATTAGCCATCATATATAAAATTAAAAGGATAGTATTTGACAGGGACGCCTACGAAAGAAAGAATTCGCACAAACAGAATCAAGAATTTATCCAACCAAATATATAGAATCTTGTTGACTGAAATGCCCTCGCATATATAAGTAAAATTCACAGAATGAGCATTGTTCAATCAGGCACATTTGGAAATCCTCTCAATCTCTAATTCCTGATAATGAAAATAGTTAAACAGGAGAGATTTACTAAACGAGTCAATTGTATTCTAAGTAGGAAATCATCAAAACAAAACACTTATGAGAACTTTCCTGCCATGTGAGAAAAAGCCAACCCCATGCAACATTCTTTCCCTAATTTTTCTTTTTCAAGTCTTTATGGAGACTTTGGATCCCTTCCATACTCTTAAGTCTTAAAACGCTTCTTCAAGAAGCCAAAGGATATACAAGCAACCAGACAGGTCAGCATCATCCCCTGGTGTTTTCAAAAGGTTAAGGATGTGTGGTTAATTCAAGATTGAATTCCAATATTCATTAGCTGGCACTGATTTACTCTCATACTGTAGTTAGAGCCAGACATAATCCATGCGAAAAAAATGTTAGTAGGGCTTAAACGTTGTAGCTTGTCTTTTTCTAGGTGTATATTTCAAGAAACAAAAGATGGGGAGACATCTGCAAGTAAAATCAGCATTTTTCACATGAATTTGTTTTCCCTGTGGTCAAATCAGGAATTGATAAGATTACCACCTAAAGATCACATGAAAAATCCATGCAAGACACTTAGGACCTATCGGTCATCCAATGAGAAGTCCACTTAACCCTAATGTAGACACATTTGGCCACAAGAAGAGCAACACGAATAGGGCAACTGGGATACAATTTCACTACACAGATGGGGATCTGTAAACTAGGAAACGTCTTCACCTTCAGCAATGATGAAAATAAGAGTAAGTTTAAATGCTGGCATTAACTAAACGTAAGACATTAGCAACGAACTGCTCAGTGTTCACCAAGTTGACAAGAAAAATGAAATTATATATTTATCTGGAAAAATGAAAAGGTTGGCAGACATTTCACAGGGAAGAGATAAAGAGAGAAAGATTTTGATTTACCAAGTCCTCCCAAAAACGGCCTGAAACAACCTTTTTGAATCGTATGATCCACTTACCACCATTACAATTAGCTGGGTCCTGAAAAGAAAAAATAACCCAGCATGTCAATGCAGAGTAAAACCGCTATAGAGCAGAAATTTCCAAATTCCAGTCAACAAAAAGGCAACTCCAAGGGCAGGCTTTTGAATGTCTACTACCTCCCATAAAGGGCGAATTCCTTCCTTAAAAAGATGCAAATCTGTTGGTACTGGCAAGGACGAAGGGCGAGCTAGATGGCAATAGCAAACCCAAAAACCTTCAACCTATTAATATGTAACACCAAAGAATCAGGAAAGCGCCCAAGAACAAGAACATTTGCAAATAGATAAAGTATTCCAATGCGTGCAGTTTGATCCTTGCAAGCGAAAGTAGCTTAGGATCTTACCGTACTGAAATCAACAATTCTCTTTATGTTGTCTTCGTATGATGTCTGATTTCGAACTCCAGGTGTACGGCGGGTATACCAGAATACAAATTTGTGCTGCTCAAAAGACATTATCAATACAAAATGAATAAATGATTGCACAAAAGCCTTTGAGGGAGAAGCGAATTACAGAACATCGGGGATCCTCTCATGTAAAGAGTAATTATTTCGCCTTGGAATCAATATAGAAGGCCCAACCACCAAGTTTAGGGTATAATTGAAATATAAACATAAATTGAGCTCAAAAATGAAAATGCTCCTCACAAAAACAGCTCAGCAATGTTCTCTCGACTCAAAATTATACGAAAAAATAACCAAGAAAAAAAAAACTGATGTTTGCACACAGTTGGACCATTAGCGATTGTCAAAATCCAGGGAGAAAAATATCACAAACAGTCAGTTGGACAGAAAATAGGGAGAGAAACCTTTAGGGGATGAAGACCAGCTTTGAGGTCACGAGACTGTCGTTCTTCGGCCTCCTTATTAGAAGTATCGCCGCAAACGGAAGCCAAAGGAGGCGAGGAATCTCCGATTTGCTCGAGTTTAGTGTTGTTAGAGTTGGCATTGGAAGTCTTGTTGGTGACCTCTGATTCTCTCTTCTCGGCTGCCATATCTACTATCAGTTTCAAAAACCCTAATTACTTTTTCCTTTTAGACAGCTTTGGGAGATGAGAGACGGAGAATGCGCGGAAGCAGTTGCCTTCTACCTTCGCGCTTCCGGTTAGGGCTTGGCACGCCGTCAGCTTGCTTAAGGCCTCTTTTTTTTTTTTTTTTGGGGTCAAAGTCAGCTTAACGCCCCGAGCAAACCGACTCTTCCTGCATATATCAATCAATTTACTTTAAATATCCTGCCAATATAATTTGTTGATAATCAGTTTTTTCAGAAAAAAATATTAGGACCACAAATATACTATAAAATTTATTAAAAAATGTATATTTATATGATTTTTCTGAATTATAAAGGTTAAGATTTTCCCTTTTTCACCAGAAGTAAAGGTTGAGATTCGAACCGCTTGTTTAGACCGTGAGAGCTTCAACTGATAACTTAATAATTATTTAATTATGAGAAAGAAAAGTTATGTATTTTATAATAAGAATAAAATACAAACATAAACTTGGTGTTGCACAAATATGTATCCACCAAACCATCCCCTTTTTTTTTTGTGACACCAAACCATCTTTTTAGGCTTTAATATTTTTTGGCCGACAAGCTTGTGTTTTTCTTTCTTCTGACGTTTCACTTCTCTCTTTCTTTTTCTGTTGTCTTTCTGTTAATATTTTTTCAATAAATGAAGAAACCCGGGGCAGTATTATAACTTATTTAACAGTCCATGACCATTTTCTTTAGGCCTGCAATATTTTAAGAAGCATGAGATATACTAGTCTTAATAATAATATGGTTCTCAAAATAGAAATTAAGTTCGCTGGTCAAAAAACAAAATAGAAATTAGTTTAACGATATCAAAATTCCATTTTTTTATCGGGGTCAAAATTCCATATAATCCTCCACTTTCATACATATAAAATATCAAATTTATGAATAGTTTCATTATGTATAGATATGAATCAACTGTTTTTTTTTAATTTTGGGTAACAACTTTTATTATTTCAATTTCTTACGCATTTTGCTAGGTTTTTCCATTTTTATTCTTGTAGTATCGATATTTTTTCTTACGGTTTAACGGAACTTAAATAGTAAAAAGATAAATATAAAATTTCGGTTCAAATTATTAAAATAAAAAACTGTTTTCTGCTTCTTCTTTTTTAACTTATAAAAACTACACCGAAAAAGGTGCCTCCTGTACGCGCACAGGGGGAAGAGAGAGAGAGATTAGTGAGGGCTTGAAGATAATATGGAAAACGCTATTTGAGCTGGAAAAGTGGGTTCCTTTGGTCCCTCTTGTTGGAATCAGCGAACCAAACCAACGATTGAACCCACTCAAGCAAAAGCCACCCACCACGTCCACCTCCACCTCCATTTTCAGACCCAACACGACCCCAGGCAGAAGGAAGAGAGAAGGTAGCACAATAAAGTTTTTCAAGATAACAAGTTCAGCTCATCATTTCGCCCATTTCGATATTATTCTGAGGCTTGTTTTCTTTTAGCTCTGCGATTTGCATACCCGTCTTCACCGATGGCCGCCTCGATCTTTCTCCTTTACATGACGGCTTTTTCTTTGCTACAATATGCATCATCCTCGTCTTTATGTCATCGCGACTCTGCTTTATTTCTTTATAGTCTTAAATCTCAATGCCCTCTGTCGATCTCGCCAAATCCACCTCTTCAGGTATACGATTCTCGTCTTTCTTCTTCCTTTTTTTTAAAATAAAATTTCCAAATTGATTTCCAATTTGTATTTGCATACACGCTCGGGGGCCATCATATGTGATTTTCATCTCGGGAATTGATTTTTTAGCAGATTTGTTTCATTCGTTGACATTTTAACAGCTCTATTCCTGGGTGCTTTTATATATTTAACCTCTAAGGTTATTCTAAAATGGAAATTAATTCGTGGGATTCCGTTCCAGGAACCAGGTCCTGATTTGATTGAGTGAAATTAAATATTAGATGGGCATGCCTGGTTGCAAATAGCGGAGAACACTTCGTGGGCATTTTGATATTGTCACGGTTTTGATAGAAAGATGATAAATTGATAATAAATGATGAAGCGCATATTGGAATATTTGCCTCTTCTGTTTCCTTGGACTCTATTGGAATAGGCCTTCTAACTTGAAGTATAGAGTTGTCGCGTATTGGACTCACGAGGTTTCTATTTAGCAGTTTGCACTGTATGGAAGGAAAACCATTCATAAATTTGGACTTCAATAAATGGGTTTTATTTGTGATTCTAGCTAAACACGCACGCGCACACACGCGCACACACATATATATTTATAGTGGTCTGGGTTGTCAGATCATGTAGCACCAAACCTAAGCTTAGCAAGTTAGGCACTAGCCTGAGAGGTAATAGCTTGTAGTGTAAGATTTGCGGACCTGTTTGAACCCTTCGTGAATAATGAGTTGGACTTTTAACCAGACTTCTAGATTTCTAGGTAACTGCTCAATTCCTGTTAATTGTAATTGACTGAGAATTAGTCGATTAGACCCACTGCGAACAGTGTATTCTGTGCCTTCTCGAGAAATAAGCACGCCTGTACTTTGCAACTGTGCTTTTATAGGTGAGAATTCTGCTAAATTCTCTTTGTTGATTGGGGAAGAATCTGCATAATACCAAGTTTTTAAATAATTCAACTGGATATAACTGGATTTAGTCAAAGGGTTGTCGCTGATAAGAATCAGGTGTTATTAATACAAGAAGAAATATCTGCATGTGATTATCACTTGGAGAATGATCCTTTTCTAGTTATCATAATAATTTGCACTTGATGATGCGAAGGATAAAATTGACGAGGAAACCATATAAAACCCCCAAATTGTTATTCACATAATATCATTTTCTTGTATGTTGTGCCATGTCATGTATCATTCATCTTGACAAACATTATGTTCTTTGAATTATTTTCCCCAACATTTGGTACTCCACTTGATGAGAAACCTTTCTGGCCATGGACAAGAACTATGTGAAGTTCTTTAGGTGTTTCTTATCAAGTTCTCTAACAGAAGCTAAACCTAAACTTAGCCTTTTCTCCTATTGTCATACTTCTTTTAAGGAAAATGGTAATTTCTTGCGAAATCTTCATAATGACATTACTTCTTTTTTTTCCCAAAAAATAATAATTGATGTTTAGGTGATGTCAAATTCATTTATTTCTACTGTAATGTTAGGCCCAAATATTGTCTTCAATCAAGTTCCCACTTAGTTTGTTCAGCCTTTAGTTATATAGCCCATCAACACGGGCAAAATGTCATATAAAGTTAACAGAAATAATGTTTTAAATCCTTTCCTCATTCTAACATAAAACCTATAAATTGCCCTGTATCAATCAAGTCATTTATATTACAAATGCTCCAATGTGATCCTGCACATCAATGATTGACCAAGAACTACAAACAGGATTTTCCACAAGAAAGGAGAGCGATTGAGTTATTGTTTCCATGCTAACCTTCCACATAATGTTGCACATCGGCATTTTGTAGTCTCAGCTAAGCTACAAAATGTAATTGTATTCAGTTCATTGAATGCCGTTATTCTAAACAGAGAATTTATCTGAAAAGGATTTTGGATTTCGAAACAGAAATAGGAGAATGAGTGATAAATGAAAGTTTGGGCTTACAAGAGAGACTATTATAGTGGGAAGATTAATAAAATCAAGTAAATAAACCGGGCATTCTAATTCTCTAGTTTCTTTATCAATCAAATTTGAAAAGTTAAAAACTTCATGAAGGATCTGATCCCTAGATGGTTACAACTAAAATTTTGGACGGAGAATCAGGCAGAGAAGGAATGAAGTAGAAACGGCAAAAGAACTCCTAGGGAAGCAAAAGAGAAGAAACTCCTTTTCAACTGTCCTCCCAATGCCTGGCGAAAGGACCTAAATCTAAACCAAAGAAACCAATGGTCCAATTGTCTAAAAGAAACATATGCTTGTAAGGTAACCTCTTAATTTGGTTAAATTATGTTCACATTATTTATGCCATAAAGAATTAATTTCACAGGACTGTTCAGTTTACCCATTTTTGGACACCAGACTTCCATCGTTGCAGGTCCAGATGTTGCTCCTTCTGAGACCTGCATTAGACTTGTAATTGACAATACAAACACTTCTGTGTCAAATTAACAGCATACTTGAGGCGTTATCCCATTATTTTCTCTACTGTATATGGCTAAGCTGCTTCAGCTGGAACCTGGTACTGGGAAAGTTGGTGCAGGGGAATATTAGATACAAAATTTTTTTTTAGTAATATCGTCACCCAAAGAGAAAAGAGCAACCACTAGCTATCGAAAATTAGAGACCTTTTAAAGCACAAATTCTCTAAGAATTAGTCTGGGATTGTCCGAGGGAATCCTTAAATCAAAGTTATTTGCAAGATTTAACCACTGGCTAAAGAAGTGTGGTAAGAAAGAATTTGATTATTCAAATTCAAACTTATCACAGAACTATTAGTTGAATTCATCTTTGTATGATGCCTTATTTTATTCTAGGTCATATTCAGGTAGCTCATCATACTTCCTATGACAAAATTGGCCAACCAAGATCCCTGATCATCTAGAACTATATTTTTTTCATTTATACTTATCCCAAATTACCGATTTTGATTGGGTGTATTTAATGTTACTTAAATTTGTTCAGGTGGATGGAAGTTACGTAGAAGGAGTTTTGTCTAGAAAGCAGAGAATCGGATATATTTCTGTACTTTTCTATGCTTCTTGGTGCCCATTCTCGCAGAGTGTGCTTCCTAAACTTGAAACACTTAGTTCCATATTTCCCCAAGTGGAACATTTGGTAGTTGAGCAATCATCAACCTTACCAAGGTTTTGAAACTCTCCCTTCATCTGTTCTTAAGCTTCTGCGCTGCTATGATTTCATTTCTTTTGCTACATGCTAAGTCCGTGATTTGCAGATACTATGCAAATAGCAGTTTCCAGTCCACGCATCTTTTAGCAAATTCACTTCCCCCCCCCCCCCCACGCTTCATTTCTTTTGCTGCATGTTAAATTGATTCTATTCTGTGCTACTTTGTCTTTTTCCCCACTTTCCCTTAAACATTAGATTTGTAATTCGGCAGAGATTATGTCATACTTTATATAACCTTCATAAGTGTCGGTTATTTTTATATGCATGTTCATGTGTGTTTTTGTTGTGCAGCGTGTTTTCGAGATATGGAATCCATAGTGTGCCAGCTATATTATTGTTGAATCAGACATCAATAATTAGATATCATGGTTCAAAAGATCTGCTCTCCCTCGTACAATTTTATGAGAGAAACACAGGTATGCCCTATTCTTGCATGTAGGTTTCCGATGGATTCTCTGACCCTGCTTTTGGACTTTGATAACTAGGTAATTGGTAAATTTGGCATCCCGGATGAGAGAGTGCAATTTTGTTTTTTTTTTTGGAGATCATTATTTACGGAGACAAACTACTTCCTAAGAATATTAATATGCAGACGATATAAGAGACTTGGGTCACTGTTGGTATTATGTAAGCAAGGATCTTACTTGATGTGTCTGCCCATTCTTGTCAGGATTTGGGCCAATTCATTACTTTGCGGACGACCAACAGGACAGCTTGAGTAGTGACAAAAAATCAGCTATAAAGTCATTGGTGAGTTTGTCACCAAAAGAAATATGTAGCGGGGAACCCTACCTGATTTTCTCAGTCTTGTTTCTTTGTTTGAGGATACTTCTCTATGTATTGCCGGGGACTGTAGCGCATCTCAGGGCATTCTTGGTGTCTCATGTTCCTCATCTGAACTTGCAAGTATTTGGTGAGACGAGCCAAATGATGGGACGCATTCTCCAAGTGATCGATGTTAGGAGGATTGGGACGAAACTAAGACTGAGCAAGACGAGGAGCTTCCATCAACGGGCGAAGAGTGCCAGAGTTTGGGCTTCTTCTCTGGCTTCTGTTTCTCTGGGCGAGGCATCATCAGCAAGGACATCCTCTTGAGGTTTGAACTGACAATCTTGATACTAGCTAGTCATTTTGAGGGCAGGAAAGAGTTTGTTGATCACATAATATCCACATGCTGCAATCAAATCTTAAGAATACAGGGTTCTTTCTGTGTCTCCGATTTTAATAATTTTAGTAGTGCTAACAGCTGAATGCTGTCTGTGATGTGGGTTTCGAGAGGAAGCGAACAGGCATGTAAATTTGAGCACAGCTTTCTTGTTCTGTAAATTATTTTGTTTTCTTACGGAAATCATACAGGATCAGTCTCTGTCTCCTCCTCTATCTTTCTTCCTCTTACTCAATGCCACGATGTGACGGTTCTTAATGGTGTTTCCATATTTCTTGCAGACTCAACTGCTTAATTTCACTTCATTCGTGCAGTTCACTGTGTTTCAACTTCTTATTCGTATTAATATTTGTATGAGGCCATGGCGTGACAAATTAATAACAAACAAAAGTAAAATGCAAAATTCATATGAATGTCATTGTTGTTCCTTTGTTCGCAAGCCAAATGATTCCTGACCAGAATTTATCTGGATATGATGAGAGACGTTCTTACATGATCAGGTGGACAAGAGATGCTTGAACATCATTGGAACCATGATGTCTAACGCATTTTATCATGCTCTACATCCAATGCAAACTCATTCCCCAGGCGAATCTAAGGAAGAATCTCAAAAAAGTATCTTTAAATTTTAGAATTTCAAATTAGTTTTTTTTACTACTCCCTCCATTCTTTATTATAAGAGACGAATAACTGAATTACGTTGATAAAAAAAATAGTTAAAATTAGTTAAGAACAATCAATGTGTAAAAAGTATAATTTTTTTCCAAAAATACTCTCATTAATAAGGAGAGAGAGCATGAGAGAGAACAATGACAAATTATTAAAAGAAAGAGAAGTGGGAAGAAGAGAAAGTGTGAGTTAGAGACAATAAATATGGATAAAATAGGAAATCAACACAAAAAAGTAGAGATAACTTTTAAGTGTCTCTTATATATAGAAACATGTCATAAGTATCAAATATCTCTTATAATAAGGAACGGAGGGAGTATATTTTAATAATAATTGACACATTTAAAAAATAAATGACAATATATCTTTGGGTGAGCCCAAAAACGTGGTAACCGGGAACTCATAAAGATACCAATCCCTGGTACTGGACACCTGTCCATTAATCATTTATTATTTTTAATAAAATAAAATATATTTGATTTTCATTTCGGCTTAATTCTCATCTCCATCCTATCATTATCATTTCAGCCTTCAAGCAAACTCTAGCTAGAGAATATTTTCTTTTTCTCTTCTTTTTTTCTTCGTTGGTGATAAGTGAAATCTACTTGGTTATTGGATTTTCATCAAATTCTCGCGTTTCTTTTTGGAATAAGATTGTTACACTTTAAGTCGGGTTTGTCTAACTATTTGATCGGGAAAATAGATAATTTCCCTGGTCAAATGAAAATTAAGGCAAAAATAAAATAAAATAAATCCTAATCAAAAAATAAATCGAATCACTATTAATTTTTATGAAAAAATTAGGAAACAAGAAAAGTGACTAAATAGAAAATTAATCAACATTAATTTTCTAATTGTGAATTAAGAGCAAGTAGAGAATCTTCTAGTAATAAATAAGAAAGATTTCAGCGTCCAACAAAAAAGAAGAAGAAAGGTTGCACCCTAACTTTATAAATAAGTAGTGTTTTTCTCATTTACTCTTCACCTAAGCCCTATAGCTTTTCGATTATCTCTCATCCTCTCATTTTGCTGGTGCATGCTCTATTTAGATTCTCATAGTTTGCAATTCGAGTTTCAACCCAATGCAGATCTAGTATTTATTCTAACTCATCTATTTAGAGGGTATTTGGTAACCCTCAGAAGTACTTTTTCGTAAAATGAGACAAACTCCTCTATATATTTATTTCGTAAACCGTAAAAGTACTTTTAAAATTATAGTTTAATTTCTATCCAAACACCCCCTTAACCTCTTTTCAACATAAGGAATTTTTGTTTATTAAGTAGAAGTGTTTTTTTTTTTGGGCCTTGATTAAGTAGAAGTGTTGAAAGATAGTAAGGTAATGAAATTTTATGGGGATCAAATACATGTTTCAAGGCTAAAAGTAGTTATGGAAGTATTTATAAATTATTTATAATATATTTTTATCACCACGATTTTTAGATTAGAAATAATATTCAAACCAACATTTTTAGAAGAATTTTTTGTATTGATCTTATTCAAACAAACATAGTTGAATCAGGACAATATCAACCAGATAATTGTGACGGACAGATTAAATATAATACTGAAACAGCATTACTCGATGGCAGGGGCCAAAAAAAAAATACAGGGTTTAAACGTGATTAGAGTCAAAATCATCGATAAAAATCATTTATTCAGGGGAAAATCAGGAAGAACGCGTTGCGTAATAAGCTTTTCTATATCTTTTTAGTCAGTACTCAATGTTTATCATAAAATATTAACTTACAATTTATTTTGAGTAAGTAAATAAAATTATATCAGTATATCATTAAATAATAAAAATTTTATTTATTTATTTATAATTTATAATCAATGTTTGATGATGAGTTCTGAGTTCCTATTTATGTTTTGGATACACACGGTCCCATGGCTCGTGACCCCAAGAGCTCGAAGCCACGCTGTAATGGTGGCGCCTTCTTGAGTCACCACGTATAGCGCCTGAACCTAAAAAGCCTCCATCTTTTATCTGCAGTAACCCCTCTCCCTTCTGATCATCGCGCTCTCCCTCCCTCCCTAAATCCTTCGCCACATGGATCTCCACGACTGGGAATTCCTCTCTGATGATCCCTGCTTTGAGCTCAATCAGAGTCTCGACAAGAGAATTATCTCTCAAGACAAGCGAAATTCCGATTCCAAGAATTCCCTCGATTCCGATTACATTCTATGCCCTTCCCCAAATGCTCGGAAGATCACACAGCCTGATCGGGTCGATCCTGTTCCCATTCCTCGGGAATCCAAGATTGCCAACGCCATCGAGGTTCAGAAAGTGAAAGGAATCGGTAAGAACCCCGATGAAGTGAAAGCCGAGCAACACGCAGCTCCACTCTCACAGGTTTCCTTCGAAACGAAGGAAAATGAATTCGTCGACAATACAAAAAACCCAGTTAACAGGGAAGCTTCGAGATTTGAGACAGAAATGGCTGAAGGTTACAAGGAGGAAGACAAGAACAATGGATTTAACTTGTGGAAATGGAGCCTCACAGGGGTGGGAGCTATCTGTACTTTCGGTGTTACTGCTGCTACAATCTGTGCTCTGTTCCTTGGAACCCAACAAAAGAACAAACCCCATGCCAACCAAAAGAACGTCTTCAAGTTCTACACTGATGACAAGGTCAGCCAAGTTCTGTCATAATTTATCGTCTTAAACTTTTACCTATAATCCAGTATAGGATCGTGATCATAATTTACTTTCTTAAATTTTTACCTGTAATCCAGTATATATAGGATCGTGATCATGATTTACTGTTGGGTGTTGAACTGACAGTGGGTGTTAGTGGCAGAGGATTAAGCGAGTGGTGGAGCAGGCGACCAAATGGAACGAAGCAATTTCTGGTTCCGTGAGAGGTGGCCCTATTGCCAGAGCTCACATTACCTATGGGGCTTACCCCGATGGCCTCTTAAGCATTGATTAAGTGCCTTCATGAAATTTACTACTTCTAATAGTATGCTTTTCTTTCTCATGGGTTTTGCCGTTTTTGTTTGTATATTCCTGGGGGATGCTCTTGTTTGTCAGTTATCACTTGTCACTCCTGGTTACTGGTTTAGCTTTGTAAATTAAGTGCCTGATCACGAACTCTTGGCTATTTGATCTGGCATATCATCTATAAAGTTTGAATTTTCTGTTTGTTTAGAAGGTTCCCAAAGGATCCTCAGAGGTATCAGTTATCATAAAGAATTGATTTTTAATAACGACCTTGCGTGCTGGACAGGGCTAGAGTAAGCTAAGAGGAGTACTTCCTGGTTGTTTCTTGTGTGTTTTCCTCTCAGTTTGTGCTAGCTCCTATGGGCAAACAAGTTTCTTCTTCCTTCTGCTTACGTCTCTCTGGAAAAAGGGGCTTGATCTATTAACCTATAGGAATCTAATTTACAGAACAACTTCTTAACTAAAATAAGATATTTATGTTGATGACGTAAATATGTCGCCAAAACTGAAAATGACTGATTGAACAACAGAACTATCCGAAGGAGATGAGATTGAATGAGTGATGACCCACTTGAGAGAAATGATTCTCCTGTAGGCTTGAATGGGAAGGGATTCAATGTCTCACGCCATTGTTCATTGCCCAAGGGTCCAAATTTGAGAAAAGAAAATAAAGGAAGAGGCAAAAAAGAAAAATGATGGGACCGTGTTTATAATCATCGGAATTATGCTTTGAAATGCTTTGTGATTGGAAGGAACCGCCTCAGCTGTTTCAGCCAACGGGTTGATTTCCCGTGTGGGGTACGCACTCGAGAATAATTCCAACAACTACAGAACATGATATTGTTTGAATAGGAAAATTTGCCGAAGCCTTTATATATATTTATATATGTGTGTGTGTATAATTGAGAAAGCAATCGTTCCGTTGGCTTCGGATTTCGTGGATATGTTTTATTCCTTTTTTTAATTATTAAAAGTCAATTTATTCAAAAAGTAAAGAGCTATGTTATTCTGTGTTTTAATTTAATTTAATCAATTAACGTCGAGTTAATGGATTTCAAAGGAGTACGTCAGGGGATGAACTTTGACTCATTCTAGAACGTAGTAACGGCTTCTTAATCACACAGAGAAGTTAATTAATTTGGTTGATGCCTGTGTGAGAGGTGACTTTAATCATTTTTAATCTTTATAACCTTCTGGAAGCTGTCGCATCCAATGGCTATAAATATTTTTCTCTTGCTGAGATGGAATTTCATAAGCACGCAGGCAAAAGGAAAAAATTTTAGATTTTTGAGCCCTTAGTTCAGACAAATGATATGACTATACGTGGTACCTCGTAAATACTGGATTAAGGAATCAGCTTTGACTTCATTGTCAAACGAATAAAGTGAAAAGAAAACGGCAATAACTAAAATGAAAAATGAAAATATGGGGCCTATGAATTTGAAAGTAAGCTCCTGTTTTACGAGGTATGAGGGCAGCTATTTTGGTGAGCTTAGCCCATGACATGCGTCCAGGCCTTTTGGGCCTTCGCCATGAACCAGCCCACAAGAAACCTACACTGTTGGGTTGACCTTTTTACCCTCAGAAAAAGGAGAGGATGATTCTGTGGGATATAATATAAATGCGGCTGCTTTAGAATTATTGAGCGCTTTTATGGTTGCATTTGCAATAAAGTAAAATAAAGAGCGAGAGAGGCCGCACATGCTTTCCTTCTTTTTTTCCGAAAAGGAGATGGGTGAGTAATAGATGCGCCACGGTTTCCGGCTGACAAGAAGAAGTAGGAGGAGGGGGAAAAAATTGCAAATGAGTTGTGTTCGCCGTTAAATAGTTCATGATTATGCTTGTGCTTGATTTTTTTTTTTTTAAAAAAACGAAAATGGCTAAATTATAAAACAAACTATTCATTTGTTACATTTATATTATATACAAGCGATTCATAGATCAGTCGATTATTTTGGTGACAGGACAAATAGGAGTGTATGATACACTCTAGTTATGTGCATGTTACTCCTTAACCAAGCAGCTAAACCTTTTGGTGGGATACATTTTAATATTAAAAAATACTAATTAATGTTAAAATTAACACCAATTGAGTTATTTGCATAAATGTAGAAGTTCAAAGAATTCAATGTTAGATTGTTAGGTTCAAGCGTTACACAGAGAGGTCCCATTATTTAGGAGACGCGTGTTCATTTAGCATCATTTTTTCATAATTTCTATGCAGCAAAAAATTGGAATATTTAAAATTACTCCTTTCATTTTTTTTTTTATAAACAATATTAAAACTCATCATGTAATCAAAATATCAGTTAAAATTAGTTAATGATAATAAATATATAAAAATTAGAAGTTCTTTCTTTAAAATGCTTTTATTTATTTATTAGGGGAGTATAAAAGAAAGAATAAAAAATATTATAATAAAGAAAATTATGAAAAAAAGAAAATATATAATAGAAGAATGATAGTTTGGAAAATAAAATAATAAATATATTAAGTATTAATAAGTAATTAATCTATATTCAAAAATAAAATGATAATTATTGTTTATAAAATGGGACGGAACAAGTATACACGGGAGACATTATTTTATAACCAAAGTATCAAGCAATGATTAATTATTAAAATTTTAAATTTTTGAGATGTTTTATTGAGGCGCGTACTTCGCTTTAAGGTCAACAAGACGCATGTTATGGGAAGGAGGTCACTTTCCATTCTGTGCAAAAACGATGGTTCCCCCTCCTTTCAATATATTATTACGTTCCTAACAAACCCTGAATAATTCTTAATTTGGTTCTAGCCGCCCATTCAATGAAAACAAAGTACTAGTAAACTTTCAATAATTTTGTCGCATAAATTGTGTAAATAATGATTCTGTGAAAACATCGTTCAATTTTCTTGATTATTTTAATTATTAGCAGATTATGAGACGTTGAAGAGGGTTTTCACCAACTTACTTGACTTGAATCCCTTCATGTAAACGTACACCCAGTCCCCTTCTCAGTAACCCGGCCAGCTTTACCTTCTTTACAAGAATTCACAAAAACTAAAAGTTCTGAAAAACAATATTTGCATAGTTAGTAGCAGCATTTTCGCTCTCCAAGTCTGAGCGCCAAACCAAAATAAGCGACGAACAGATAATAAACAGAGAAGAAGCAAAAGGATGAAGAACGGAAGAGTGAAGTCAAACAAATCACAATGATATTACAAACACATAGAATGAGAGAGCACACTATTAGGAATAAATGTGTACATATGAATATGAATGGAAAACGCAACCAAATTTTAAAGACCCATTGTCCCCGTTCACTCAAACACACGCCCGCCGAATCATCAAAAACCCTCCCGTTCTAAGAAAGAAGAAAATAGAATTCATATACAAAGATCAAGATCCAAATTACATTACGCTCATAATTAACAGCGAATCAAAATGCTCCGCTCAGAAGAGAAGCCCGAACGCGAGAGCAACCAGAGAAGCAACGGCGGTCGGCACGAAGAGGGCGGTGGCGTCCGACGTGGGACTGGGGGCCGGAGCATCGGCGGCCGACACAGCGGAAACCGCCGCCAAGAAGGCGACTGCGAAGAAGAAAAGCCTCATCCTCATTGCCTCCATTTTCTGTGGTGAAGACTTTTTGCGGGAAAGTTTTCGGGATTCTTGGGGAAGCAAAGCAGGCACAGAACACGAAAAATGGCAGGGTGAGAGTGAGAACACAAGCGTGGGCGAGGCCGATTCTTTATAGGAGGTTAGAGGGAGAGAAGGCAGGGTTTTACGGGCAGGGAGTGGGGTTTTGTTTTTGAGGCGTTGAAGGCTGCCCGTGTAATGCAGGGGGCGGGCAGCCCCACCTGCCCGTTCGTTGGACAGAGTGTCTTTAATGGACTTCTTGGTGCCATCCAGCTGTCGCCAACGGTATCCCGGCCCCACTTCTTCCTCTTATTTTTACTTATTATTATTTTAATCGAGTTGTCTTTAATTGAGCTGGGGTTTGAGATTTTTGTAGCATCGGCAATCATGTTGCTGTATGCCTCGCTGATTCTTTCATCATTTCGACAAAGGGTCGTGATTCGATTCCCATGTGCTTCGTGATTATTAACTTTAAACTTACATTTTCCAGATTATGTTGTGTTTTTTAATCTCTAATAGTAATATTGTGATAAATTTTAATTGGTTGAAATCATGGGATTGCATATTTGGGGGCACATGTGAGGGGATGTTGGGAAGGTGGGAAAGCGGTGGAGCAATCTGGGCCTCTAATTGGAGGGTCAGGCCAGGAACCTCGGGTTGAAGTATAAGGACAAAGAAGATCACGAGCATGAATTTACATCCATCTGTGAACGAATCGGTATTATCCAGAGTTATCAGGTAGGGCAGTGCCCTGTTCGTGAACCTCATTAGTCCCTCCTCGTTAATTTCCCCACCATTTTCACTTTTATATATGCTTCTGAGATTACAAGTAGGATCAAACTCGTGGCTTTTTACTTGTAAAGTATTCATGCCGCTCGGCTATAAGGGAATTATAATCCTATTCTCAAGCAGATCATTGCTTTGCTGGTTGAAGGACGAGTAAAATGGACGGGTGGATGGGAACTTGGCATTTAATTTGGAATGGTGGTTTAGGGATCAGTATCAGATCGTTGAGAAAGGGGGACAAAGTTAGCGTTAATTGTGTCACTTACTTCATCATTAACAGTTTTTTTAAACTTGACAACTTTAGTTCCTTTTCAAACGTTAACTGCGCCCTGTCTGTCTTTTCCCACTACTCCTTCCTCATCTTCTGCTCCCAAAAGCAACCGTGTTCTTCCCTTGTTCCCACAACGGCTATCGTAAAATCCAACTCGACACCCTTTTTTCCAGCGCCGTTACAATTCACGCCCATCTCTTCATTGCTCAACTTGTCGTCAAATATTAATTTAACTCGAGCTTGTTTAGAACAGTGTAAATACGTGGCAAGAATTTTGTCTGGACTTAACAAGTACCTGTATTAAGTAATTTTAAATGAGCTCTGGGTGTCCCAAAGTGCAGCTATTATTCATTTCGATGATTTTTGCCCCGAGAAAATTGAGCTGTGTAAGATACTGTACAGTAATGTGAAAACTTATTGGAGGATAACAATAATGAGTGTATTTGTAACGTATTGGAGACTGAGAGTTAAAAATCTAAGTTGGTCCAAGGAATGGAGAGGGACAGGGAGACGGAGAGGGAGGAGGGGAACATGGTCCCCCAAGTTACTTCCAAAATGAAGAATAGTCCAACTGAGATAGCTGGCCACATACGTATGTGGGTGGCCTTTGGGTTTATTGGGGTTTCTGTTGCCTGGTGATATTTCTCTGCCCTTTGAATTTGTAACGTGTGCTCAGGATCAGCGTCAAATCACTACAGTACATAAGGACTATGGCCAGAATAATGTTATGGCTAGATTGTCTAGTTTTCAAACCAGACGACTTTGAAGCTTGAGAATAGATTTCAAGTGGTAAAATGAGTAGTTTGGCATCATTACTAACATGTATGGCAATCTGTCTTTGAATTCTTTAGGCATTTGTACTCTGCTTATTTTCGTCCCACTTTTCTGTGATTCGTGGGACGATTCGTGGGGTTTTATTTGTCAATATTATTGAGCTACCACGTCTCAGTTATTCAACAACAACCATTTTAAATAAATTAATGAGTCTATCACCAATCATCTTTTTTTTTTTTTGATACATCGGAAAGGATCACCACCAATCATCAAACTCCCTCTAATTTAATATTTTTCTCCTTGGTTCGCTGTATCTCCCTGCTCGATTCCAATACTCGTAATTATGACTATCCTCTCCCGTCCAGATAAGTCAAATGACCTTCCTGTGATCAAAATTACTCAATCTGTCCTTTTTTTTTCATAAGAAACAATATCTTTCATAATAATACTTTCAAATATTAAAAACAAATATTTTTATTCATCATCTCATATCTATGATTTATAAAATAAGGGTAATAAGAGTATAATAAAAAATATATATCTTTTATGTTTAGTGTATTTAACGAACTTTTAATAGTTGTTATTTATGATAATGGCCCCCTTCCCCCCCGCCCCCTTTTTCTGTTTCTGGGTGCAGGTGTCTTTTCCGTGGCGAGGCTAAAAGTTTTGAAGACGTGAGGAGGAAGGAGGATGGTAGGGGTGTGGGCTGTGGGCACTGGAAAACAGCAATGCCCGCGCGTTGATGACCAAGAAGTCTCTTCAATTTATATTTTTGGCCTGGTTACCCCTTTTTTTATATTACACGTTCTGCTTGATTTTTAATACCATATCTGATGTTTAATATAAAAATAATTTGATTTTTAATTTGATTTAAATATCATATCTCAATTCATTTTGTTTTTTATATTTACTCTTGTTTTTTTTTTAAAAATAGTCTTTATAGTAGTTATATACATATTAAATATTGATTGACAAAAATATTTTAGGAAAAAAAATACCTATTTATTACAAATGACTAATTTTTTTAATTTATTTAAATTAGTCAAATAGCTCTTATATTAAGAATCAAATGTAGTATCTAATAATAAGTGATTTATTCTTGACAAGGTGTTAAATATGTTTAATCTTTTTTTTTTAAATTGTTTTGACTGCGTTCACACTTAGCTTGATGTAAACTTTTAAACGCGTTCATTTTTTTGTTGGGGGGGGGGGAGGGTATAATTTTAAAAAAATGGAGTATAGTTTTAAAACAGTCTCAGATAAATTTTATTAGACTTTTAAGAGATGTTCATGTTACTCAGTCGCCTCTGTGTCGGTGAGAAGAGAAGAAAATGATGAGCCACCATCCGCTTTCTTTTGTTTCCCTTCGTTTTCTCTTTCTTGTTATTATTATTATTATGATATGGGACCATATTTCGGCCTAACGACACCTTTACTACCAATGGAATTTCTAATTTTATTTAATTTTTATATCTCACTGTCAAATTGATTCAGCGAATGTAGCAACCAATTATTGACACCCCTTCATGGCATCCCATTGGTAGGCTTGGCAGTTGCAACATCTCATGCCATCAAAATCACATGACCAAATTCTGTCTACCTAATCCTTCCTTGTCAGGTCAAAAAAAAAAAAAATCTCCGTTGGAGTTCCAGTTACTTTGAGAAATTTACTTAAGCAAGACCAGAAAATATAATAATACCTGGCAATTCGGGTGTGTTACCGGTAAAACTTTATTAATCATTTTAATTAACTTATATTTACCTATTTTTATAGCATACAATTGATGCATTAAATTGCTTTTTTTGACCAGCAGTTGATGTATTAAAGTATTAACTCATAAATACACACACGTAAATACTTCTTCTTTTTTGTTAAAACATAGGTATTCTCTTATTTGCGACAATCCTATTCGAGACACTATTGGGCACTAAATGTGGACACCTCTCCCAATGGGGATTTGAATCTTGGTTCACCATGATATGGGAGACTAATCCTTCTGCTAAACCCAACCCCGTTGGTCACGCACGTAAATACTGTATATACGTACTGGTTCCTCAACCTCCATGCCTTCTTTTGTGTAGTTTCCAGACGGTTTTTTTGCCAGAAATTGTTTTTGGAAAAAAAAAAGAGAGAGAGGACCCGCTGGCTGCCAGCCACAATCACTCAGGTTTCTGGATCGAGTCGATCACAATCCAATTCCTCCATAAACACGAGCAGGTTTTCGATTTTCATCAACAGTAAATGGTCCATGGGCCCCCAAACCCTATGTGTTTCAAAGTTATACTTGGATTCTTAGCCCAGAAAGATATTCTCCGCATATCCCGTATAGAATGGGCTTAAAAGGAGCCCATATTCAATTGAAGCAGGGCAAGGCAGCCCAAGAACTTCCTCATCGTGTTCATGGCGAAAAAACACAAATCCACGATGCGTCTGCTTTATTTTATTTTATTTTTTTTCCTGGGGTCAATTATTGAGAAAAGCGTGCGGAGGCGGGGTGCGTGCGAAAGTCCGAGGGGAAACGATCGGGCCGCTCATTTTTGGATCCGACGGATATAATTGACTCCAGTTTATTTCATCGCTGGGGAGGACGGGATAAATGGAGAGAGAGGGAAGCCAAGATGAAGGATGAATAACCCTGCAGCACACTTTGAGAAACGCAGACTTTGAAGGAAAACGAAGAGAGAGAGCGAGGGAAGGAGGGAGAGGGAGGCCGCCTGCACAGTCAGCAACAGCCCCTTCTGAATGCCCTTGCGGAGGTGGGAGTGTGACGCAAAGCCGAGTTGAAGAAGGAGAGGCCTTGAAAACGAAGAAAGATTGAAAATTTAACCAGAGAGAGAAGATCTGTGGTTTCTTCTTTCTTCGCGTGGAGGGGCTTGTGAATGTTCTGTTTGTAGAGGGAAATCAGACTTTTGTTCTACCTGGTCATCTGACCTGAAGTTGTGCCATTCGAAGGTTTGTTCTTCGTCTTCTTCTTCTGTCATCCCCGGTTGTTTGGGGAATGGATTTCCGTTTTCATCTTCTCGTTTTTCTTCTGACCTGCGGTTTTTTCCCTTTTGTCAGGCTTGTTTGTAAGGACTTCCTTCTGATTACAGGTCTCAGGCGTAGATCTTGAGGTTGGATGCAATCTCTGTGGACTCTTGTATTTTTTTATGTTTTTTAGTTTCTACAATGCTCTGAAGAGTATTGTGGAGAACCGGACTCGTTGTGAGGCTGATGTTGTTGACAATCCACCGCATCCAGAAGTTGGATTTCTATTTTCCTTTGTTATTTCACTTCTGAGTTGTTAGACTTGGGGATGAAGACCCAATCTGATTTGCTATGCTGATTTGTTCCCAACGCTCTCATAGTCTTCCGGGCTTCTGAGTTCATTGTGAAAATTTCCTGAACGACTGAACTTATCCTCTTTGTGTTGCGATTCTGATGGCAGATATGGAGACCGAAGAGAGGAGTCAGAGAGGATGTAAAATAGCGGAACCTGATTTTTTCTTGCAGTGGGGAAACAGAAAACGGCTGAGATGCGTGAGGGTGAAAGACCCTCGGATTTCGTCGCGACTCAACGGTGGAATACGTAGGAAACTTACATCGACGGTAGATCGTTCTGGGGTTACTGCTTCCGACAAAGAAAGCTCTCATCTTCATCCTAATCGACTCACAAGGTCAGAAACGACGGGATCTTCCCATTTTCTCTGTTTGTGGCTGGTAAACCCTGGGTGAGGATGAGAAAGAATCGAATGAGAAATTCTCCCTTCATCTCTGATGATGATATCCCAGAATCTGAGGTTTTTAAAGTTTAAAATTTTACGCACTAAGCTTATGGATGAAACTTCATTAAGAATAAATGAGCGTGGAAGTAACAATTTCTGGGAGGATGTCGGAAAATTGGGTGAGAGTGAGATATTGAATACATTTTTGTCCTGATCTGAAGGTAACGAATGTTTTGGTGCAGGAGTTCCGATGGGGCAACGCTTAGGTCGGCGGGTGGAGAGAATAGGAAATCGGCTTCGCCGGAGAAGGAGGACAGGTACTACACGACGAGAGGATCGGCGGTGGCGGACGAGATCGGGAAAGTTACAGGGGATGGGAACAACGGAGAGGAGAGAGCCCATGTGTGGCCTAAATTGTACATCTCACTGTCCAGCAAAGAGAAAGAAGAAGATTTTCTGGCCATGAAGGGGTGCAAGCTGCCTCAGAGGCCCAAGAAGAGGGCCAAGATCATTCAACGAAGCTTGCTGGTGAGTATTGCCTTCAAAATAAAGAATACTTTTTTTTCCAAATGGAAGAAAAGGGTAAACTAGGGAAGGAAGAAAGTTTTTTCATTTTTGGTGAAATTCAATGAATGCGGATGTAATTTAATTGTGGGTTTGGTGGGGGTATGTTGCAGTTGGTAAGTCCAGGAGCGTGGTTGACGGACATGTGCCAAGAGAGATATGAAGTTAGGGAGAAGAAAAGCAACAAGAAGGTATGCATATGTGGATTTGGAATGGTTTTGTTTTGTCTCTTTGAGAGCGCAGATTCTGACGGAGATTTGGTGTGTTTGATGCAGAGGCCCAGAGGATTGAAGGCTATGGGGAGCATGGAAAGCGATTCCGATTAAGAGGAGGAAGAGGAAGAGGAAGAAGGAAAAGAAAGGAAAACGGAAATATTTTGGGGATGTGGTTGAACAGGTTGAAGATCATGTTATGTTTAAGTGGAGGGAAGGTATCTCCACTCTGTCTCTCTCCCTCCCTCTCTCTCTCTCTCTCTCTCTCTCTCTTTTGGGTTGTAAGGAGTAACATCCAATTGTTAATCAAAGGAATTGCTTTACCCTCTTCTATCATTCCTTCTTCTGGCTTGGCTGCTTGGGCTTTTCTCTCTCCCCACTTTCTCTGTTGATCTTTTTTTTTTTTTTTATAATTTCTGTCCACAATTTACTGTGGCCCCATTTGAAATAATTGAACTCATCTTGTTTTTTGGTCAGCGGGTTGTTGGCATGATTTTCTTTTTCTTAACAGACTTTGAGATGAAGGGATTAACAGGGAAAATTTTCATGGATCTGTATCATACAAATTAGTAATTTACGGTATAGTAAATTTTTTTCAAAGGTGTAATTATTTTTATAATGTATATTTTTGGAAGATTGAGAATCTCGTCAAAATTTACTGCATTTATTGTTAAAATAATTTTTGTTTTTTTTTTTATGGAAAAAAGGCTACTGATGTTGTGATGTGATTAGAATTTATATTCTAGAAATGGTGATTGGTGAATGTTTAAGACGACGTTGGTGAAAGGGAAAATGCGATGAAGCAAACCACGAACGCGGAGAGAGGGCAGTCTCTCAAAAACCTTGCCCCACATCGGCAGAATGCAGACACCGCGGTTTTGTACCTTTACAAATCAAACTATTACCTTTTTGGATCCTTGCTTGGACATCCAAATCTGCTATTAAATTAAAATAATAACGCAGGACATGCCCACAGTAATAACCACTTGGGGGTTAAGAAAAACAGAGACCATCTCAGCCCTTGAAGCATAAAACTGGCCTTAACTTTTCACTTCTTTAGCAAAACCAAGAAACGATCTCAGCTTCGCTCGTGTCAACGCCATGATCATAAGAAGATATGGATCTCATTCCACTCCTTTCTTTACTGACGTTGGGTTTTTTTTCTTCCTTCATTGTTTTCGGGAAATTTTGTTGATACTTCTCTTCGACCATGTGGTAAGAAGGGAATAAAATATGAAAGATACAGTTTCACTCTCAGAGTGACGCATGCTGATGAAGAGGTCATCATCATGCATCCATATTTGTGGAACATAAGCGGCAGGCTGGAATATGCCAGATATGCCTTTCTCATCAAATGGCTACTTCTACATTGTTTCATAGAGCTCTATCTCCTTTTATTTGAAGCCCAGGAGGATTGTACCTCCTGGCACTATCCCCAACACTCTTGGTGACACGTGAGGCCTCTTTTACCGAGGGGGGAAAAAAGATGTTCAAATCTCTTGTTGGTTTGGCTAGAGTTGGGTTGGGTATGGAGGGGACGTGGTGATTCTGGTGCTACAAGTGAAAGACGGCAACAAAGAAAGGTAGCCTTTTATTCTCATGATTGCTACTGTTTTAGGTGAGCACATCTAAATTTCAACGCCCAACTTGTTCCCGTTTCTTTCTACTTTATTTCTTTTAAAATAAATTTTCTTTCGAAAAAATCTGGTTACAAACGAACAAAGTTGTACTTTTGCCACGAATTGCTGGCTCTAACTAAATGCTGCCAGAACAGACATAGCTAAAAATGTTAGCTTTGGAACTGATCTATGGTAACATGAGGTAGTATTGGGAGAGAGCCAATAATCATATTGGCTCTTCCAGTTTGGAGGCAAACTGCAATTTTGTATCAGTACGCTCAATAAAGATTCCATTTCAGCTATGAACCAATCAGTCGGGACAAGCAACCAGGAGATTTCACAATTTGATGGTACCAACCAGTTCTGGTTAGGTTTGCAGTTAGCTTTTCTACAAACAAGGTTTGGTTTGAGACTTGAAGCCGTATCCAGGACAACAGTGACAGGTTTGTCTTAGGTCATAATAACAGTGTAGGAATAGGTTACATCCACACTAGGCTGGTGCTCCCTCAAGAGTCCAGAATCAGTGCACAACGGTGGGTGGGGCGGGCCGGGGCTAATTCTAGTCTATTGATGATCACAAACATACTTACTCCAACATTAATTTGGTGAGTATTTAAATAGAAACCAAATGATAATTTTAGAAATACTTTTACATATATAAAAAAATTTATCTCAATTTACGAAAAAATATTTTTTAAAAATACTTCACATGCCATCCAAACAGCCCTTTAGTGTAAAACTCGGGCGATATTGTTTCCACAAAATAGTTGGGCTTCTTAAAATGGATTACTCACACACCAACTCAGCGAGAAGAGAACACCTGTAGAAAGATTGCGCATATAAAGACAAACGGTGCCTGTCTTTTAGAGACTATTCACTGTTTCTTTCCGAATTTTTTATGTTTTCTTTTTCCCTTGAATATTTCGACACACTGCAATGGAAAAGTGAACAAAACTAGCCAGTTATATTGTCCTTTTATCCCTGGAATATAAATGTACATGCATGATGTAACCCTTCAAAGGTGCCCTGCTTGTCGATGAGTACTGTGTTCTGCAGAATTTCAGCCCAGAGAGACGATCAGAGAAAATAACTTCTCATTCCGTCCATCTTTCAATTGTCTCTTTACCTGCTTTTCTTCCCAAGCAAAATTATAATTTTAGACTGAACGGGCCCCAAGGAATGGCTCCATTAGCAACAACATATTCAAAACTATGCAACTCAGATTCATAGCAATCCAAAATATAAGGGCCAAGGTGGTCAAGAAAGCAGCAGACAACCAAAATCTAGTCAAGTTCCAAAAGCACGGAGCACAAGATAGGACGAAGAATTTCTGTACAGAAACATGATTAACTAGCATCTGACTGAAAAGAAAAAACGACACTGATAGGTGAAGAATGAACATCAATGAAATTAACATATCTTCCAAATGGGCTCACCTGTACCTTTTATCGATGGAGGAATGGATTAATCAACTTGACTCTTGGCAGCTTGAAGCATCTCAACAATAAGAGTTTTTACATCCCTAAAAGAATAACCAAAACAAGGGGGGAAAAAATCTTTCAGTAAATCAACGCCCACCAGAATGCTACAGTATATGTAAAGGGGATACTGTAACCCAATATCAAGTTGAAGGTCGTAGATAAGATATTCAGTGAAGAGTCGTTTGCATGCCACCTAATAATCCCGTCCCAGAAAAAAAAAAACAAAAAAAAAACAGGGGAGGAGAAGGGGAAAAAGTGAGAGGACGTTTTAATACTAGGGTTTCCGTTAGTAATATTTTCCAACAAGCCATCAATCCATATATACACACCAAAAATACAGGTATTGATGTAGCATTTTTCAGGAGAAGATGGAAGTTTCTATTGGATGATGATATATCTTACTTTCTGTCTTCTGCACGCCGAGGAAAAGGAACTCGGAGCTTAAAGTTATCACCCTGATAACCAGCCTGCAATATGATATATGACTTATAGTAAGAAGCTAGTGAATTTCACGCTTGAAGGAAAAAACTGCCTCACAGGACCAGAAATATTTCTTAATCTTTCATTTGCTGAGTTTATAAAGTTAGGCGTAACAGTTTTAAGAATCAGAAGTAGCATTCAAGGAATGGAAATAAAGAGAAAATCATATTGGGGAACACAGTAAAAAAGCCACTAGATTACCTTCACGTAGAAACCAAGGCTATCCAAATCTGTCATGAATGCAAAGTCCACCTGCAGATGACCAAAATACTTTGCATGAAGGCTAAAAGCTAAAACCCCCTCCCTGGCACAAAAGGAGGATTTTCTTTAAATATCCATATTGAATTTCCATAACTACAATATAATTGAATCAAGTCCCATAAGAAGATATCGTTTTATTCTCATTAGCCTCTATAGGACCTTAATGCCCCAACACTGATAGCATCTGTCACATGTAAACATATCAATCACCATCAGAGCTATGATTTTCTCTTTCCCTGTACATTTGCCACTTGACTGAATAAAATATTCTGAACATCAGCTCAACTAAAGAATTTTACATAATTTGGGAGACTACAAAACCCATCTCTATCACTAGTATAATAGGGCCAACACCATACAGTTTACAAGATGCCATACCGGAACTGATGTCCAGTGCTGTACGATCACTTTTGTATCTTCAGCATGGTCTTTATTCATATGAGACTGTCAAGTAACAACAGTATTTCAACAAGGATGAAACAAGGCTGCTTTATGAAGATGCTGCAGACATGTATCATGAGATGATCAGTTAGAATTAACTACCGCCACTGGCTTGGAAAACTGAGCTATGGGATCAACTTTTGCAGCTTTATACTCAGCTTCATTAAACTCTGAAAAGTGAAACGAATTCGGAATAACATCATAAATTAGTATAATGTACCTGAAATAACATGTCAACTCCAAATGTCAAACGAAATAAAAGAAAAGGCACATTCCTCACAATAACCAGATAAGTCTCTTTTCCTCTCCCGTTTTCACGCAAAGCCACCAAATTAAGAGAGAGCATTCTCAAGCTCCTAAATATAGGTATCACCATCCACACGATGGCAATCCGCATAATTCACAAAGACACTTGTTGATGATAAATTTAAACAGCACATACCCAACATTAAACATATATCACTCTATCATTTAAAGAAAACACAGCCCAAAGCAGCCTCACATGACGACATCAATAGAAAGGCAAACCAACAAGAAAAGAGATGCGTGGCTAACGAACCTCCAGATCCTAATAAAGCTGTTGCAACCCCAGACACAAAACGTATCACTTTAGGTTCAATGCGCAGAAAGTAGAAGTCCCCAAAGTCAACCTTCAATATGCAGATTTTATTTAATTGTGATACTGGACATACATAAGTAAATAGGAGAAGAAGTATATGAAACATGAAAGGATAGAGTTACCCAAAATGCATTGGGATGTCTTGCCAAATATGCAGCTCGAACGGCTGCTTTCTCCTTTTCAGGAACCTGATTAGATATCAAGAAACGTATTAGCGATAGTTCCATATAACTATGATACAATAATATTGCAATCATATAGCCTAAGTTCACATAGATGAGGGTAATAGAAAGAAAGAAAGGGGAGGGGGGACCATCGGCATACAAGATGTGACTGGAAAATGAGCAAAAATATCACAACTTACAGCAAAAGCATCGCCATGTAAAGTTATTGCTAAATCAGTCCTATCTACAGGATCTCTCGCCACAAGCAATGAACATTTGGGATTCGCAATTAAGTCCTGCAAAACGTAGAAAGAAATACTCATATCAATGTAAGTAAGCCCTTTGAATGGTTGATTTTGTTTATATGATTTCTAAAACTCACAAAGAGGACTCAAAAAAAAATTTTTTTTGATGAATTATGAGTTCTGCAGAGAGTTGAATTTGGTGAAACCCATGATAGATTAACACAAGCACATATACAATTAATCATTATTTCTTTATCTGGATTTGCAATTAAGTCCTGTGAAATGTAGAAAGAAATACTCATATCAATGGAAGTAATCCTTTTCAATGGCTGGTTTTGTTTCTACTCTCCAAAACTCATAAAGAGGACTCAAAAAAAAAAAAAAAAAATCTGACGAACTGTAAGTCTTGCAAAGATCAGAATTTTGGTCAAACCTAATACAATTAATCATTATGACTTTATCTGGAGCCTTGCAGCAGCTAAGCCGTTTGCTTAGCGTTAAATTTCACTCCTCTGGTAAGTCAATGCATTTCACAATCCTACACAAATTGTATTCTAAACTATTTCATCAGCATTATTTTCCAGCAAAAACAAAACAATGTGGAGGAAAAATAGAGAAAAGAAAAGAAAACCTTTGCATGAACTGCTAGGTTGCTCACTGCTAGTATAGGAGATCCATCTGCACCACATGCATAGTCAACCATAGACCCTGATGGATAACCCTCATGCTTCTGCACAAAAAAGGTCAAACGAAAACCAGATTAGAAGATGATATTGAAGTTTTCTGCCAATAAAAACTAATCAATTATTATACTAAAGTTATGAACATCAGAAGTTGCCAGATTTGATTGCATTTGTATTAAAAGATCATTTTAGAAAATTTTCTCGAAGTGCTCCTCTCACTGCATTAGTTTGTTAACAAACTCTATTTTACATCCCAAAAATATATATTTTACTTCATCTGTAAATAAAATAGTTATCCGCTAACAAGATAAAACACGGGGCAATTGAAGACCAAAGAAGATAGTTTTATGAGGGTTTTATCCTCTTCAAGACACCGCACTGTCTGATTAAATTTAAAGGCAGATTTGATAGTTATTCAATTTACAAAAAACGAAAAAAAAAAAAAAAAAAACACCACCACCATCAACGTCAACACCGTTCGAGTTCATGACAGTTAGATGGAAAGCTCAGAAACCTGAGAAAATGTAGAAAGCATCCCCCGTACACTTCGATCAAGCATAGTACGAATTTCTTCAACTGGTGGAAGTCGAGCAGCTTTCTCCTGTAATAAACAGAAAACAACCTGCCTAAATATGCTTCCTCAATTGATCATAATGCCATCTGCACAAAGATGCCGCTCACAATGGATTCTAACTACTTTGACGATCACATGTAGAAATAAGCATGTAGCAGATGCAATATAATACCTGATGAGCTTGAATCAATTGGAAAACCTTGTCTTTGTCGATGTTAACATCTCCTGGCGACACAGTCTAATTAAGAAATCAATATCAGCATAACACTGTATCGGCTATGGCCATCACACCATAATAGCTTCATATGAACAAAACCATTTTGGTGTTGCATGAAAGCAATTATTAATAGATTCAGAATTACGCAAAAAAAAAAAAAAAAGGCGATGAACAAGCAAACTGGCGGAGAACATCTGACACTGCACAATCTATTAATCTTCCACTCATATTCTATCAATAAGCTTCACGGGAGCCAAGTAAATTGAATTCTAAGCCAAACTGCAGAGCTTGCTACTTAGAGGCTAATAAATTTCGCGGAAAGAGAGAGAGATTAGACAAGAAGCAGGTACCGGAGATGTGGATTGCGATGACGCGGCCATGGAAAAAGAGCGAGGTGGGCGAGAGGAGAACGTCAACGAATTTGGTAAGGAAGAGTAGCGTGAGATTGAAGAGAGAGGGAGTAGAAGGACATTATGGCCATTTAAGCGAGAAAACGGGGAGGTCCTTAATGGCGTCACCAACGTCTTCATCTCTCGCGTGTCGCACTTCAACCACCACCAGCCTCGCACCAGTCCCTCCCTTCTTCCAAAAATTTTTAATCCTGTGCCAAAGGAAGTGCCGCTGAGTACTAAGGGGCACCGCTTTTTTTTTTTTAATACAAACGGCAAGCTAAGCTTGAGGGGTTAAAAAGTAGATAGCTCAACAAAAGAGGGGGCCCTTGGCCTGTTGCCACGGTCTTCCAAAACTTGGTTCCAGCAGGACACGGGGGTCGTCATGAATTCCTGATAATCGTGCTCCATATTATGAGCTGAGCGAGCAAGGATGTCTGCACACTTTATACATTCCCTGTAGCAATGGATAATTTCCAGATCCCAAGTAGAGTAAATCAGCGACCTTATCTCTTGTATTTCATCTCTCAGTGGGTGATTTATCCCACAATCAGTTAGCAGCAGATGGCATGCTTCGGTTGAGTCTGTATACAATTTCACTTTGATCATATTCAGCTTTTTGCAAAACTCTAAACCCGCTCTAATGGCCTGTAGTTCTGCCACCGTTGATGATGCAGTTCCAGTTCTTCGTTGAAATCCTCCCAACCAGTTCCCCTGTTCATCTCTTACAACTCCACCACATGATGAGTTTCCTTGGAAATTTCGAGACCCATCTACATCCACGCGTACATATTCAGTTGGCGGGGGTGTCCATACTGCATCTGCCCTATCTGGTATTTGCAATACGGCATGTCGTAGCACTCCTTCCTCCACTTTTTCCATGAGATGATGGATACATTTTTGGATCAACGCCCTTGGAGTTTCACCTACTCCTTCAAAAATTCGTCTGCACCGGTTTTTCCACAACAGCCAGCAAACTGTCCCAAAGATGCGAGTCCACGGCCATCTTTGATATTTTGATTTTGCTGGTCCATTCTTTGAGTTCCACTCCAGCCACACCTGTAAATTTCCAGAAAAGAAAGCAGGAAAATAAGCAGGGTTAATTAAAGCACACCACACTCTTTTTGCAGTTTCACACTCTCTCAACACATGTAGAACTGTTTCCTCTTGCTCACACTCAAAAGGACAGTCCGGACTTGTATGGGTCATAAATTTTGCTCTAAGAGTGTTTGTTGGGATTCTCTCTTGGTAAGCTTGCCATAAAAAGAATTTTGCTCTCTCTGGTATGTCCCAGTGCCAAAAACATTTCCAGACAGGATCAGTGTTTTGATTTTCTTGCTGAACAAACATCTTATACGCTGATCTGACACTAAAGTTCCCATCTGGGGTATTTCTCCAGCAGTAAGCATCATTTCCATTTCTAGCAGGTGGTTGCATAGCCGCAATTTTACTGACCACCCAGTCTGGTAAGAAGCAATGCCACTTACTTCGATCCCATCTACCGCTGCTTGTTACAAATTGTGCCACCATTGCCTCAGAATCTAGAAGATGCAGGTTTCTATCCACATAGAATATCAACGGATGCTCCATAGGTGTCCACCTATCAGACCAGACTTTGGTTGTTTCACCATTCTTTATCTTTCTTCCTATTCCTTTGCAGAAATCATCCCAAACCCGAGTAATAGCACTCCAAGTTGAAGATTGAACCTGTTTTTTCATTACCCTGGGGCTCCTTGACTCGCCACATTTGTATTTGCTCTTTAAACATTTTACCCAAAGAGCATTCGGTTTTGTGAGTAGTCCCCAACACAACTTCATAATAAAGGCTACATTCTGGGTGTGCAAGTCTTTTATTCTGAGGCCCCCTTCTGTTTTCTCCTTCTTGATCTGTTTCCAGGCTATTAGGTGTAATTTATGGCTGTCCTGCACTTGATTCCAGAAAAAGGTTCTGCTAAGCTTCTCAATTTCCCGAAGAACACCTAAGGGGAGAAGCATTGTCTGCATTTGGTAGTAAGGTAGAGCTGTTAGCACTGATTTAATCAGGACCGTCTTCCCTGCCATGCTAAGAAATTTGCCTTTCCATCCAGCCAGTTTCCTGTTCACCTTTTGAATTATAGGAGCAAAAGTTGCTTTAACCGCTCGCTTGTGCAATAGAGGGACTCCGAGGTATTTGCCAAGATCCGCTGTTAGACCAATTCCCAAAGCCTGGCTAAAACCGTACGCCCTATTGAAGTGGATGTTTCGTGAGGTGAACATCTTTGATTTTTGGAGGCTAATCCTGTGACCCGAAACCTTACAGAAAGCCTCCATGACGCTCTTTACCTCTTTCATCTGGTCCGTGGATCCCTCACAAAATAGAAGTAGATCGTCAGCAAAGAATAAATGAGATATGTTCGGCCCTTGTCTGCTGACTTTCATCGGTCTCCATCTCCCTTGACCCACTTCTTGATGTATGAGGTGTCCTAGTCTCTCCATACACAAGACGAAAAGGTATGGGCTTAGAGGATCTCCTTGTCTCACCCCTCTAGATGGCTCAAACTTTTCTGTGGTATCTCCATTCACAAGCACCTTCATAGAAGTGGTTGAGACGCATTTCATGATACAATTAACAAAGTCATGTCTCAAACCAAGGCTACAAAGTGTATTTTCCAAAAACTTCCAGTCAAGGCGGTCATAAGCTTTCTCCATGTCCACTTTAATAGCCACGAAACCTTGCTTACCCGTTGTTGTTCTCATCGAATGTATTAGCTCCTGGGCAATTACAATGTTGTCACAACTCTGTCTCCCACTGATAAAGCTACATTGATTTTCCTCCACCAACTGCCCCATAAACCCCTTCAACCTGTTTGCAATTACTTTGCTTATAATTTTGAAACACACATTACATAGGGAAATGGGTCTAAAGTCCTTTAAAGAGGTCGGGTGATCGATCTTAGGTATCAAAACTATGCTGGTTTGGTTTATCTCCCTTATCTTTTCTGGGTTTTCAAACACGTGCTTGATAAGATCACACACCTTAGAGCCCACCACATTCCACTGGGACTGGAAAAAGTGTGGTTGTAGACCATCTGGCCCTGCTGCCTTAAAAGCCCCCATCTCAAAAGCTGCATTCTTGATCTCCACATCTGATATTCTCCTTTGAATAAAGTTTAACTGGTGCGCCTCCAGTTGTGGGAATTGAACTGGCCACGAAACAGTCTGCTCAATGTTTGGATCTGCCTTATATAGTTCTGTAAAGAAATTCAAAGCCATGTCTTTAATCTTGGCTTGGTCAGAGATCCAGTTGCCCTCATTGTCCTGCAGAGCTTCTATTCTATTCTTCTTCCTCCTCAACTTTGTAGTTGCATGAAAATATGATGTGTTCTTGTCACCCCACTTCAACCATTTGCACCGTGATTTCTGGTACCAGAGGAGCTCTTCTTGGGCTGTTACCTTGCTATAGTCTTGCCACAGTTCCTGTTCCAATCTAAATAGACCAGATCTTGCACTTGTTTGTCTATATCTGTCTATCCCTTCTAATCTTCTAATTAACTCTCTCTTTTTCTTCCCCAAACTCCCAACAACATTCCGGTTCCACTCACTTGCCTGCTCAGTGAAGCTTCTGTAGCCTTCAGTCCATGACTTTTCATTCCAAGCACTACTAACAATTTGAGGGAAGTCCTTTTCAAGACACCAAGCTGCCTGGTACATGAAGTTTTTATCCCTTTTTGTCCCCTGCGTAGCCGGACCGTCTGCGACCACAATTACTCTATGGTCGGACTTGAACTTGAGGTGATGGTAGGCTTTCGACTGTGGAAAATTCAATTCCCAATCAAGATTTCCAAAGACCCAATCCAGCCTTTCTTTAACATCATTTCGCTCCCAAGTAAAACGGTCCCCCACCACTGGAATTTTCAAGAGGTTGCAGTAGTTCACACAGCTCTGGAAAGAATTCATAACACTGTTTACTGGCATTCTTCCCCCTATTTTGTCTGATGGTTCGAGGAAAGCATTAAAATCACCCAAGACCATCCAGCTAGTCTCGATAAAATCCGAAATGTCCCGTAAAGATTGCCAGAGTTCTCGCCGTCTGTTAACATTTGGCTCCCCATACACAAAAGTCACGAGGAGTGATTTATTTGTTTTCAAATCAGAGATTCGACAATGTAAAAGTTGGGTTGTAGATCTTAGATATTCTACGTGACATTCATCCTCATTCCATAAAACCCAAATGCCTCCAGCATATCCCGTGGCTTCAACTCTAATCCAATTATTAAAACCCAGATTCCTTACTATTTTTTCAGCTCTCAAACCGCTGACACGCGTTTCTAACAGGCTCATGACCTTAATATCATACTTTCTCACAATCTCCTTTAGCATACGTGGGAAAGCTCTCTTAGCTACTCCACGACAGTTCCAAGACGAAATAATCATTGATAACAAACAGGAAGAAAAGTTTCAAAGTGTGATCACTTATCTGGTGGTTTTTCCTCCTTGCAGATTATGAGTCCTCCTTCTGCTTCCCACGTTTTCTCCTGCGTCGGCCTCGACATCTGATGTGATATCAACTCCTCATTATTTGTCGCCACTTCCATGTCCCCCTTCAACATTATTTCACCTGCAGAGCACTCTGGATTCGAGGGAGTTTGACTCTCATTTTTTCTTATTTGATCTCCTACTTGATTTATCTCCTGACTTTGGGTCTTTTTTATCTCTCCTTCGCTCTTCTTTCTATTCACCAGTTCTAGTGGATTCTCTGCAGACATACTGCCTGAGACTACAATATGGGCTCGCTGGCCCAATTTTTTCTTCCCATTATCCGCTTCAGCTTCGTTAGATCTGTCTTCTAATATAGGCTTCGCTATCTTCTTTAAATCCGACTGGGCCGGGCCTTTGCTTTTTTGGTTCTCTGGCTTTTTATTTTCTTTTCCTTTAGCCGGGGTCCACATCTTTTGCTCTGTGGCCTCACCTGATTTGAGTTTCCCTCCTGTACCTTTATTTTGCGTCGTCCTTTTATGATTCACACGCTTATCCTCCTGAATGACAAAAGCCCTTTTCTCAACCGTTGTGCTCCTTACTCCCTTAAACTCGTCAGAGTCTCTTTCGGGATTCTCCCTTTCCTCCTCTTCTAGGTCTGCTATAGCTTCGAAACGAGACTGGTTTTTCCTGTTAACCCCTCCCCCTTCTGACTTGAAGTAGTTTCCTTTCCCATCATACCTGTCCTTCTGAATTTCTTTTCTCGAAAACCGAGTTTTCATTGACCTTTGGACAAACATCCACGGTCCAAACTGATCCTCCTCGGCCGGTAACTTTGCCTCCGGCGATAATCTCGGTTTTGGAACCGAGGGAGAGGTTGTCGGAGATTGTGACTGTTGGTCTGCAGCTGTTTTCTTCCATGGACACGCTTCTTTCCTATGCCCATATCTCCCGCAGGCAAAACAAATTAAACCCAGCCCTTCGTATTCGACATTGAAGAGTGCAGAGGCAGAGATAATCCTGGGAATTAACTTTTTCTGAAGATCCAATTCCACACAAATCCTTGCGTATCTCCCCCGTTCCACTTTCACTTTCTCCGCGTCTGGGTTTGCCATAGTGTTCATGTCCACTTTGAGAGTCTTGCCAATCATATCTCCCAGTCTCCATATGAAGTTCTTGGTATAACACAACAATGGGATATTGGGGATGCGAACCCACGTTGCTACTCTTCCTAGTGAATTCTGGAATGGGTCGAAATAAGGTGACCACCTTTGGATAAGTATGGTGTGCTGTGCGATCACCCAGGGGCCCTCGAAAAGTACTCTTTTGTACTGGAGTCTCCAATTCTCCTCGCTTTTAAATCGCACAACATAGTAATTATTTGGTAAGTCTACCAACTCGAAGTCATTGAATTTCCAGACTCTTTCAAGCTGTTCTCTGAGTCTGTACAAGTTGAACCTAGCACCTAGCACCGTGATAATCAGAGAGTTATTCCACGGTTTGCACCAGTCATTATATTCCTCGTGTGAGATGGGGACCACTGGGTAAATTTTCATCAGCTTTTTCAACTCCTCAGAAGGTTCAGGGATACTCCACGATTGATCCAGCAAGTCAGAAATTAACAGGTCTTCGTCCATGCTAGAGCTTCCGTAAGCCACACCATTGTACTCAGTACCTTTGAAACCCAGTAGCAAATCTCTGTAAGAAGGTTGGTTATTCTGTGTCTTCACCTGAGGTGAGGAGGGTGGTTCATTATTTGCTTCTCCCCTCTCCTCACAATCCTCCACATCCAGCATTTGGTCAGACATCAACGCGTCTTCTTTTATCTCTTTTTTAGACTTCTTTGCACGTCCAGCATGTTCGGTGATCTCCACTGGCCTATCTGGCGGTGTTTTACGGCCACCAGGTTCTTCCATCGGAGAGCAGTAAGAAAGCAAGAAAAGTAAGGCACGGCTTCCAAGAGAGAGAGAATTCTTATCAATAGAAAACCATGGTTTATTGACAAACACTCCTAAGGGGCACCGCTTTGACGGTTAGACCCCACGGGTTTTGATTTTTTTTTCTCTTCCCCGTTTTTGTCGGATTCATTCCAATACTTCCATCACCTTTTTTCCTCCTCACATATTCTTCTTCTTCTTCTTCTTTTACTAGCCCCCTCACATATTCACTATAATCTTGTAATTGATGTTGCTTATATATTTATTTTTTTAAAAAAATAATGGAACTTTTGGTTTTTAGATTTATTTTAGTTATCGATGTTTTTAATGATGTTTTTATTTTTAGCATAAAAATAATATAACAATTTTTTTGAAACAGATGAGCGTGCTACTTTCATCTTATGTTTGTTCTATTTTTATTTTAAGGGGCGTTTGGTATTAAGTAAAAATATTTTTAAAAAAATTTCACATAAATTGAAATAAAACTTTTTTTCATATATTTATTTTATGTATCGTAAAATTATTTTTAAAATTATAATTTAGTTTCTACCTAAATACCTCTTAAATAAAAAAAATTACACCTTATAAATTAGACTTTAGGAGGTGTTTGGATGAAACCAAACCATAGTTTGAATAATAGCTTTTAGAAAATAGATTTTGTGAAAAATTGATTCTGATAAAGTGAGAGTATTTGGATATTTATTATCAGAAACACTTTTTATATGTACAAATTACTAAAAATGGTATAAGTTAATATGATAATTAGATAAAAGATAGATTTTATAATATATTTCAATTTGAATAAATAAAATTGTTAATAATATATTTTTTATTAACATAATAAATAATATATAAGATAATGTAATTAATAAATAATTAATATGTGTATATATATATTTATAAAATATAAGATTAAATATGTTTACAGAAAAATAATTGAAGGATATTAAAATCATATTACTAGTGAGATTTATTCTAACAGGTACAATTATACTCTCTAATTTGAGCCTAAAACAGAATAGATTTACTTATTTTGAAATAATGATTTTAAGTCCAAAACTGTTATTTTTTTATTTTTCCCTCTGTTTGGCAGATTTGGGATCCAAATCATAGTTTTAAAGATTTGCCAAACAGGTCATAAAGCCAATTCGGTTACAGTAAAAGGGGCAAGCTGACAATAAACAATTGCTTCCATTTTGTCTTACACCCAGTAGCTGCTTTACAAGTTTAATGTCAGTAAAAATTAAGTAAATTGCCCTCCCATGTCATTTACCGCTCATTCGTCATTCCCCGTTTTGCATGGGAAGAAAATAAAAATTGCGCGACCTTTTCGTTTTTTTCTTTTTTCAAACATTAAAAAGAGCACAATCGTGAAATAAAGAACTGGTCGCCATAAGCATATCGCACGTATTTATTAGTCGTCCGATCTTAAATATAAAACTCATTTTAAATATGTTAAAAATATTAGTTAAGTTAATTATTTATAATAAATAGATATTGTCTTTCTCAAAATATTTCTCCTAAATCCTAATCTGAAATATCTAACATATATAACTATTATAAAGACAAACTTTAAAAAAAATAGATAAACATAAAATATATAGTGAATTAGAATCCTATATTCATAATGAGATTTAATATCAAAATAGCTTTTTTATTAAATACCACCTCCGGTCTTAATTATAAGAGCCAGCTGACTAATTTAAGGAGAGTAAGGAAGTAAGTTGAGTTAGTTATTTGTCCTAAATAGGTGTTGTCTTTCTTAAAATATCTTTGCTAGTCAAGTATATTGACTAGAACTATCATTATTAGAAAGGTTACTTTAAAAAATATATATAAATATAAGAGACAAAATAAATTGATATCTTATATTTAAGATAAAATAAAAATCAATTAGGGCCTTTAAGGACCGGAGGTAGTATTAAATACAAGAGGCGGTAATAAATTACTGCAAACTCTGCCTGTATATGAGATAAGAACTTGATATTAGACTGTGTTTCCCCTGACCAATCTATAGCAAAAACTCGAAGGGGGAAAAAAGCAAAAAGAAAACAGGCCCATCAAGTTAACAAAATGTGGAGAACACAGAGAAAACTACCATGTCAAAATCAATGTGATAACAAGCTTTTAAGACATAGAGTTTTAAGAGAACAAGTCATTAGCGGAAGGCAAGAATACAAAATATTACTTTGGACCTGTTTTGGTGATGTATATATTGTTTCTTGTACAGCTTGTTTGATCCTGTGATCATGTTACAGAGCCAGGAAGTGCAAAACACAAAAGAAACAATACCAGGCAGGGAAGCTGTATAAAGAAAAGAAGCTGGAAAATTCCATCATATTTATTTGGTGAATTTAGATCCAAGTTTCATTTGTTGTATAGTTTCATCCAATGCTCCCTTTTGGGTGTGCGGTACATTACCCTAATTACAACATATGATGGGAAACGATCAGCTATTAAATCTAAAGAGGTGCGACCGTAATTTATACGAACGATGCTTACTGGACTCGTAATCTAAAAGCATCGTACCCATCACAAGAAGCCGCATGCTCGATTCAGTGCAATAGTTAGGCGATCCACGCATACAGAGACGTCAAAGAAATAGATCTGAAATACACAGTGGCATAGCGATCATTCATGGATCGATTAAGGGAGAGAGAGGGAAGAGAAATCAATCGGAGTGGAAATAGGCGTTGTCAGCGGCAGAAGGGGGAAAGGCGGTAAAACCAAGGTAAGTGGAAAGAGAAAGGGCCAAACGGCGGAAAGGGAGGCAGAAGAGGAGGCGCAACACGGTGTCGCTGCTCAACCGCTCGGGATTGCAGGATATGTATTGACAGAGATTGGCTGAGACTTGGGCCACCCTCACCGCCGCTCCAGTACTCAACACCATCTCTTTCCTCTGCTCTCACCAACCTCCTGGCCTTCGTCGGAACGCGTCGTTTCTGAAATCCGATTAGCTCAATCAACCCAACGGATCCGCATTTGCGTTGCTGGGACAATAATATTTAATTATTTATTCAGTGTTCTTCGGTCAATTATTATTATTTTTATTATTATTACTATTTTTTTTGGTTGAACTTTAGTCATTTATTTAGATTTTTTGGGCCAACTACTTATTTACAATTATATGTTGGGACCGTATTGTTTAGCCTGTTATCAGAAAATGATAAATACGACTCTTACCGTCTCATGGGGGCAGGTGGATCCCATCATCCCATGCTTGATCAGGAGATTGCCAATGTTTTGGATGTTTCGTCCAATTGCTATATAATGATTACTAGGCTTTCCTCCCCCTCCCCCCCCCCCCCCAAAAAAAAAAAATCCCTTTCGATCCTTTAGGATATACTTTATTAAAATTGTCTTATTTGATTACAAAAAATAAATTCAGTTTTGATATTGACTTGTTAGCTTAATTCATTTCAAATAAACTTATCGTCATTCATATGTAAATGCTACCTCCGGTCCTAATTATAAGAGCCAGTTGACTAATTTGAAAAGATTAAAAAAATAAATTGAGTTAGTTATTTGTCCTAAATAGGTGTTATCTTTCCTAAAATATCTTTGCTAATCAAGTGTATTGACTAAAACTATAATTATTAGAAGAACTATCTTGGAAAAAATTGAGTAAATATGAGAGACAAAGTGGATTGGGGTCTTATATTTAAAACCAAAATAAAAATCAAATAGGATTTTATATTAAGGACTGGAAGTAATAGTAAAGGCTTGTGGGGTACTAAAATATAGGTAATCCCAATTCCCAAACAATTCTTAAGAAAAATGATACAAATATACATTCGAGTTTGTCTGCTTACAAAAATAAACAACTTATAGGGCCGGGCCCATATGGCTTATTCATCTGTCAGAAGCTTCAGCGTGAGACTGGCCATGGCAAGCACGTGCTAAGCAGATTCTGAATCTAACCTTCAAGTGCAAAATATATTCGAAACTGTCAGCTTGTAAAAATAGAGTAGTCGCAATCACAATCAGAAGGAAAGATCAGGGGTGCAAAGAACACAATCACAAGCTAAGTTAAAATCATATGTTTATCCACTCAAGACTTTGTAGTTATTAAAACATTAAAAGCCTCCTTTCTTTATCCCACATCACATATAACTGAAAAAGCATACTTATATTGCGGAGGATCATCCAAGAGATGAAGGCTATCAAGTTCCTAGGATGCAAGAAATCCTTTCCCTTCCAAATAAGAAACTACTTGTCCAGCCATGGCAGTAGGTAGTGGGCAAACTCCATCTATCTGTTTTATTTCTATCTGAAAAATGGGAAGACTAACGTCAGCATACAAATAGAAGAAACACATTATATACTGGTATAGGAATCTTAGAGGGCTCCATGAATAAGTACCTCACAGTTTTCGGGCGGTTCATAAGGATCATCAATACCAGTAAAGCCTACGAAAATAAAAAGCAACGCAGTTGAGTTCAGAAGCTAAGGCAATAAACTGAAAGTTTCTTCCCTCACTTATGAGAAAATTATGTGCCGGCATGACATATTGCGACCATCAAAATTTTAAAATATATAAGCTAATTAACTTTATATGCTGACTTTTTTATTCCTCATATTAAACCACAGCAGACAGTGCAGAACAAATTTCATATTCCAGGGGGAGGCGAGAGCTTCCTTTCCTTAATTTAAACTGCTTTCCTCTCCCAAACACCCTCCCGGCTGCGTATTTTCTTATTTCAGTGGGGTGGGGACAGTGGAAAGCTGCATGTAAAGCGCATAAAAATAGATTAGGAACACACACCTTTGATCTTTCCAGCACGAGCAAGCTTATAAAGTCCTTTTGGATCTCGCTCCTCACACAGTTCTAGAGGCATGTTCATGAAGACCTGCATATGTGGGTAAAAGGAGAATCCACCATCAAATATCAAACAAGCAAAACAAGTTATCAGCAAAAAGATAAGTTGTTCCAAGGAGAGATTTCTTCCTGAGCCATGCCTCAATAAAATTAGAATCAGTCATCATGGCACGACACATGTCACGATCTTTTCTATATGGAGATATCAGACTGGCAACACATATTAAACCAGCATCAGCAAAGAGCTTTGCTACTTCTCCTGAATTGGATAATTTGCTCATCAGAAAAACCAAGTAGGAAAGTATATAGCAACTAAAAAGTCTGGTTTGATAACTAAAGGGAAATTTGATACGTATCAATCATTTTAAAAACATTGAAATCACTCTTATATCTGCTCCTGAAACATAATGAATGAAAAAACCCATTCAAATTGATCATCAAACCCAAGCCACCTCATTTCCTCAGAAAATTTATATAAGCAAGCTTACCAGTTCTGCGTATATTTTCAGCACGTTCTTCTGGTTTAAAACCAAGATCTTTGTTTAATCCATGCCGAAGGTTATCTCCATCAAGGACATAAGACAACTTTCCCCTTGAGTGAAGTTCTCTGCTTAACGAGCAGGCTAATGTGCTTTTTCCTGTATAATTTTAGGTTTTTTTTTTTTGGGGGGGGGGGAGAAATCAGTACGACAATGATGGCCTAGGATTAAATAATTGTTGCGTGACAGTTACAGAATGACCAAGGCCTGTGGTTAAGAAGGAGAAAAAAAAAAAAAGGCGATCTCAATTTTATGAAGCAAGAAGAAACTGATGAAAATCATGAACATCACATGTCAGTAAATGCTTCCGATGGCGGCCTACAAAGGGAGAAGCATAGAAAATGTAGTATACAGTATGCTTGCTGTTCAAAATCAACATAAACAAGATCCGGTATTAAAAAAAAAATTCAAGCAATAATCAAGTTAGGCTAACAATATAAACCTGATCCACTGAGACCCGTAATCCACACAACACATCCTTTTTGGTTTAGTAGCTTCTGCCTGTCAAGCTTTTCTACTTGACATTCTTGCCAAAATATATTATTTGAATTGCCCAAAGTTGACATCGTAAACAGTTCCGCTAGCCCTGTTTATAAATATGAACCATTAATTGCAACCCAACAAATACTACATATTCAAAACATACTACTCGAACAGAGCTGCTGTAATAAAAGCTAAATAAAAACGCAAACCTGTGAGCAGTAACGCAGTATTTTTTTTTTTCCCCCCTTTCCACAACGAAAATGAAGAAAGTGAGAGTGCTGCTATGTTTTATATTAATATTATCCCTTTTTTAACAAAACACTAGGATGTGAGCGGAAGTATTTTGTCAGTCAACATATTGTAAACAATCTACGCAGGTGAAAGCTCGGAATCTCCACTTCACACATCCTTCATAGAATCAAATATCATTTATAATTCTCCAAGGGTCTGTGTCCCCGCAGTCCTTACAATGCGAAACTCCGCCCCTCTTTCCCCTTACCAATTGTAGAGACGGACTCACAGTTCTCAACATCACACAGGATTCCGGCCTGCCTGATATCTACATGCGGTTACATTGAGAAGAATATTCTCTCTTTCCAGCCTCACAAAAGGCCGAAAAGGTAACAAGATACGACAAATCGAATTATCGAAAATGAACTGGTCGACATAATTAATCGACCAAGTAACAAGCATCAACCCATAGCGTCATTATACCCAAGGCATGATCACGAAGGTTCAAAATGAACAATAGAAGGAAATGCAACTTCTATCAACCTCCGTATCCCAAATAAAACAAAGAACAAAACATTGAAACTCAAACCATCAAGCAAAATCGAGTTCAAAACCAGCATATGAAGAGAATGGGACTGAATACCTGGAGAAAAAAAAAAAATAGTGGCTGAGAGCCGAAGTAGATTGCGTGCGAAATTGATCAGAGATTTAGGAAACGAAGTTTAAGTACGCAAGTCGAAAACGCTGCGGGCCAGAGGGAAGGGAAAGGCGAAGACAAAGGCGGAGGAAGTGACGCATTACAATCTCAGATTTTTTTTAGGTAATCCCTCTTTCAAAGGACTCTGATTTGCCGTTTAGGTGAAATGAATGAACGAATGTGGACGCGCCCTTTCTTGTTTTCTTCCCGCGTTAAACAGAAGCTACGGTTATATATGGGAACGTGGGCGTTCTATTCCATGTCCTTTGTATTAGAACCATGCCAAAATTCTTACCTCTCGTATATATAGCCGTGAAAGTGAAACTGTATTTAATCCGTAGGTCCTTCCATCTTATTTATAATCAGCTTTTTGTAATTTTTATTTCTTATAATTTCATCTATTTTTAATTAGATAATTTCTTCACAAGGTCTTAAAAATTTTATCTGATTTTTGATAATTTTTTTGACCTACTTAAAAATCAAGTGATATTATAAGAATTTAATAATTTAATTACGGAACATTGATTAAAAACATGAGACCAAATCGAGGAAGGCGACGGTCTTACCTGTATATCTTTCATATATTGTCGTGCACCATTGTTTTGTGCTCAAATCTCGAAATTAAGAAATTCTTTGACCCAAGAAATTCGCACAAAAAAAAAAAAGAAGAAATAAATGTTCTGTTTTGGTCTTCAGCCATATCGATGGAATTGACCATTCGGGGAGAAATCCAGATACGAGCCACATGTAAAAATCAAAATGAATGGAAGTTATTCTACATCCATATCAAAGGGGGGAAATATCAAGAGAATTTACTTGGACACAAACAATGGGAACAAGAATAAGAAGTCTTGATGAGCTCCTAAGAGTCATTGACTTGGATATCTTTGTTGAGGGACCTCAAATTCCTCCACAGATACTTCCCGCTGGCCATGTCCACCAATACCCAGAGTCCGTTTCCAATCATCTGAAACATTCGCCTCACACGATTTAGGGCACTGATCCGTTTCATAACGGGGGGGAAAAAGTTAGCTCCAGATAGAATTGAAGAGTGGCCCTACCTTTCTGAAATTAAGATGTTTGGTTTTGGAGGGAGACTGATCGCCGGAGGAAGAAGTCTCGAGTTCGGAGGAGAAACGCAGAGTCGTCCAGGCGAGGTATCCGGCTAGTAAAGCGGAGAAGAAAACCAACATGAACCTGAGAGGGCACATACTTGGGGATGCGAAAGAAGCAAGAATATGACCCGAGAGTGGGAGCTTATCTCTGTTTTAACAGCGAAACGAGAGATTGAGGGAGAAGGTTGGATTGCGATTGCTTGGAGAAGCAGTTATGTATAACTTACATATATGGTCGAGAAGAGAGGCAAAAGCGTGTCATAGGCATAAATGAGTTTTACCATTTCATCGAAGGCTTCTATATGACTTTCCCGACTTCCATCCACTCCTTCTTACTCATTCTAACTTCTCGCCTGTGATGCACACTTTGAACTCGTGGAAATGGATAGTTCACAGAGTAATTTTATATTCTTTAATATATACATATACCACATCATACCAATGGAGATTATCTTGGGGGAAAAGAGGAGCGTAAAATCAGACATGGAACAAAAATATTTAATTTATTATGGTGCCTTCCCCGGACCAAGTCAGCAGATTTTGCTGAGTAGGAGGATGATGAGTTAGGATGGATGGAAATGGAACAAAGGAAGCCATTGAACACCTCAGGCTCTGCTTTGCTGATTTGTTCCGTGTTTCTACTTTGACTCCGCCATCTACTTCTAACCTGCCTCTTTTTGTTCCACACAAAAATATGAATATTATCCTTCTTTAGTTTTTAATATAAGACTTAATTGTTGAGTTAATATTGATTGTAAATATAAAACATTGATACTCCTCAATTATAATCAGGTAAGAGAAGGAGAGAGGATATTAAGGAAGATGATTATGGTGTTTTAGAAAAAACATATCATATTTTTTATAATTAATTAACTTATCTAACTTTATTAATCTAATCAAATTTTATTAAGAACCGGAAGAGTATTTAATAATATTTCTAGTTTAGAAAGGTAAGAATTAGCTAGGAGTTTGCTTTTGATTCTAAATATGAACTGATATATGGATTTTATTTTTAAATTAATTTTACTAATTTTTAATTTTTGAAAAATTTTATTTAGATCACATTAAAGAGTAATATATACTAATCCCTCTTCAAATAATTGGTCGCTTTGCTATCGTACATTCAATTGCATCCCCGTCTGAAGACCAGGTTTGAGCCAGAGTTGATCAGGAGTCAGGATTCTCCTACTGAGGTCAGTCCAAACCTAAAAAAAAAAAAAAAAAACCGTAATAAAATAACGACCATAAAAATTTTTTCTACAAACTAGAATCTTCAATTTAGTATTCTAGTTTTTTTCTTTTTTGCTTCATTCAGAATAATCTATACTACCTCCGATCCTAATTATAAGAGCCAGTTAACTAATTTGATAAAATTAAGGAAGTAAGTTGAGTTAGTTATTTGTTCTAAACAGATGTTGTTTTTCTTAAAATATCCTTGCTAATCAAGTGTATTAACTAAAACTATAATTATTAGAAGGACTATCTTAAAAAAAATTAAATAAATATGAAAGACAGAGTGGATTGTAGTATTATATTTAGAACCAAAATAAAAATCAAACAGGATCTTATATTAAAGACCAGAACTAGTATCATTTGTGCAGAATTCGACTTGTTTAGCGGAATTGGCAGCGCAACTAATGAAGCTCTAAGAGCTCGTCGAAATGCTAAACCAAAGATCTATAGTTGCCCAGGGGATCGATTTTTACAAATTAATTTTGACCATTACATTGTTCCATGAACACTTCCACTCATCATTTTTAGAGAAATTAAAGGCATATTATCATCTTGACAGTTACACATTCTCGCTTGTATCACACGACCACATTTTGTCACGAGATTCAGAGCTTTAGCAAAGGACTACTTTAATTTTTAAGAAAACCGATTCTACAAACAAAGGAAAGATAATTTATATTCAAAGAATTAATTAAAGCGTTTCTAGAACTAAGTTATTGACGTACTAAAAAAAATGGAGTTGTTTCTTCATCCTTTGCAATAACAGTTCGCAATTTATCACAATCTTTTGTAATTCAGAGATTTCCTGCATAATAAACTTGAAATTTGGAATCAATATAATTAAAGAAGCATGCGATGGAATCACTCAATCCACAGGCATCAAATATCTTTTCGATTAGGCGTCCTATGTTATCTCCAAGGTAAAATGACTGAAGTACCATGAAACCGTTACACAAAATGATCCTATCATCTCCCCCTCCCCCTGAAACCACCGCGGCCACCGCCCCTTGGGGGACCACCTCTCCCACCCCTTGGGCCACCTCTTCCGCGGCCTCCTCCACGACCACCTCTGCCTCCGCCACGGCCTCCTCCTCTAGCAGCTTGTGGCTGTCCCCTGCGACAAAAAAACCAGGCAATCATGTTTACTTGATGACCTTAACAGCTTTACAACCTCTAGAGACAAAAAATGTGCTGAGGATCAATCCCAGCATCCCCACACCAGATCAATATATATAAACAATGGGGCAAACTATATCGTATGGCAGGATGAAGAGATTTCACAGAAGTAAATACACTTAATGAATAGTATGAAGCACTTGATGGAACTTCTGATAAGGGCTACATAAGTGGAAATGTAAAAGAACAACTTGATCGTCTCAACATAGCCTACAGGTTTCTTTTGGCTTAAATGAATATTCAGATGAGTGTTTTCCCAAAAAAACCAACAGCTAGAGCCAGGAATAAAAGATAGATAAATCAAAAAGGAATATTAAGCGGCACGGATCAACCCAACTCTATCTCCATTCTCCACATAAATCTCTGGGCTGAAATAAATCCCTTACAGATCAAGAAGAGAAAAGATGCCGCTTGGTATAGGCTTATATCCCATCACGTGGTTACCAGACAAAATTTCACCGTAAGACATCAGCAAATGTATGTATGGCTATTGAATAAATGACACCAAATGGTATTGTCGAAATAAGACATACTTGAACAAATAATACAACATAACTCAGATTTGCATGCTTGAACAATTATTTAAAATTGAAGATCACGTCACCATAAATTGCCCACATTGACATGCTATTTTTAAGCGGTGAGGTGTGTAGAGAACATACTTTGGTTGTGGAAGAAATCTCGCAAGAGGCAACAGTTTCCTCGGGTCAATATAAAACTTATCACCAGCTGAGTAAGAAGTAGCAACAATTCCTTCCATCATTTTAACTGAAAAGTACTGCAATTGTGCAATTGAAAAGGAAAATCACAGCCAGCTTCTATATAAGACAAAATCAGAAGGTATCGACCAACTGGAATACAAATGAGAACTCACAGATTCATTAATGGGGCCAAATATTTCATCAACTTTACCAATTTGAGTCATGTTCTTCAGATATATAGGGGCATTGAAGTAAGGAATTTTCTCATTTGTAAGTTTTGTGACCGCATCTCCTTCACATGCATGCATAAAGGTTGAGACCTCTGCACACGTCAAGGAGCATCTTCAATATGCATATCAATCATTTGTTCTAAATAAAAACAGAAAAGGCAATAAAGAAATGACGTAAAATTTGAGATAACAAAACGCAGGACACTGAAGAACTTTCCCCCTACAAGCCAGACATAAACATTTGAATCGTTAACCCAGAAAATTGCTGTTTCCATTTTCCAACTGAATCTTGAAAAACAACGTATTCGTTTATTGCACCATCACACTCCGAAACAAAAAAATTAAGCCATCAAGCGCATGAAGAGCGAGTGACATTTTTTTCAGTCTTACAAGACTTAGGTTGAAAACCCAAAAGCGAGAGGGGGAAGGTATAAACATAAAAACCTCCCAGCTCCTGAATGAAAAGGCAACAAACCTACGACTTCAGTAGGTGGGCCTTCGTCGCGGAAGCCACCGCCGCCCCTGCCACCACCAAAACGACCACCTCTCCCACGGCCACCGTCACGACCCCCTCTAAATCCTCCGCCACGACCGCCTCTCGGGGGCCTCATTGTTAGTGTTCAGCAATGTGACACCCGCCTTCTTCACCAACGATGGCTGGCTGGCGACTGGCGAGGCAACGTTTATAGGTATACTTCGACGCCCTTGCGGTGGTTTAGGGTTTAAGGATAGTCCTCAAATCAGAGTTGGGTTATGCTCAAATTTGGACCCAATGATTGACCTGAATTGAGCCTGGGCTGCTATTAGAATTGGACCCCCCCCCTCTGGGCTTTATCTCTTCCTATTGGGACTATAATAAAACCCTACACTGGCTCTTTAACAACCGGATGTCAGCCGTCCGGAGGACTACCCCCGCTCAATGCAGCCATAATTTTGCTTTGTTTATCCACCTCTCCTGCCATTTTTGGTTGCAAGAAGTGTAAACTGTAAATACATTTACAATTTTTTTTAAATTTGTAATTTAAAATTATTTGTTTGGTTGTAAGAACATTTAACTAGGCGTTGATCAGTGTATTAATCAATTTAATAGATCTTTCATATTTTAAAATATATTTGTTGTCAGGTCTAATCATCAAGATAGATATTTGTGTACACAATATTATCTTTCACGTGATGAATTATTCACGAGCCATTTCTTATATGCTACCTCCGGTTTTAAATATAGAAGCTAGTTGACCAATTTAAATAGATTAAAAAAACAAGTTAAGTTAGTTCTTTATAATAAATAGGTATTATCTTTCTTAAAATATCTTTACTAATTAAGTATATTAGCTAGAATTATTATTATTAGAAAAACTATCTTTAAAAAAATACATAAATATGTGAGATAAAATAGATTGGGATCTTATATTTAGAACCAAAATAAAAATCAAATAAGATCTTATATTAAGGACCGCAAATAGTATTGTACAATACAAAAACATCTGCTCTTTTCGTTTTTGTGGTGGGCAAAACCTATGATCATTCTATTAAAAAAAATCCTCTCAGTGCTGAGAGTAAACTTCTCATTTCTCCTGAGTATAAAAACTAATTAAAAATTAAATTTAGTTTTAAACATAACACCTTAATTCACTGTCTTTTAAATTTATAATATTTTTTAAAAAATATTTCTTATTGATTATAAGAAATCTTCTCTAGAGTAGTTTAGATTAGTTTCCATGCTCATAGTTGAAAAAATAATTAAGAAAAATCAACTCACATTTTTTATGAAACTCACATTTGTTACTTTTTTATACTAACAAAAGGAGGTGGCATAACAAATACTGTCTGCCTGCCAGAAGCCCAAAACAAAATCACCATATCCCGGCCGTACCAGCTTAATACATGCCATTTGATATCTCCATATCCGAGAATCAAGATTTTACCCTATTACTACTGTTCCAAATTCAGACAGGTCATATAACATCAATTAATTAAATTCTGGGCTCGTGGCTCGTGGCTCGTGCAGCTCTTTGGAAGATTTGAAAGCACTACAGACATATTCGCAAATTGTTTGGAGCGCATGTGTGAAGTGAAAAACATTGACAAAATGGCCATGCCTCCTATCAAATGAAAAATAAACTCAAAATTATTCTCCTACTGGCTGGGCTTGGTTGGGGGTATACCAGCTCTCTCCTCTCACTCTTGTCCCCGTTTCTTCGTTCCTATTTTACACTTGCCAGAATTTTACATGGGAGACCAGGAGCTTTCCTTCACCATTCCAATTCACAATCATCGAAACCCTCTCATCTCAATTTTGACTCATTTGTCATTTACATGCCAAGTACACACCCTGGCAGCTAACAAACAGTCCGCCCGTAACATATTGAGGCTATATAGAGATTCTTGGTCCATTTTTCCTGCAAAATCCAACACAACAACAGTTAATGCTTTCCTTTAGCTTGAACTTGGGTTAAGGGAAAATCTTCGAGCAGGCAATGGAAGCAGCTGCTGTTTTGGGTATTTACTTTGCATATCCTTCTTGAGGTTGGACTGATATTTTACCCACAAACTAAACACCAGTCACCAGAACCTCAATTATGATAATGTTATCAATTGAAAAACAAGGGGATTCAGGACGGAAAAAAAATATTATCACCCACTAAAACAGTTGCGTGTCAGAAGAGTTTAATTATAAACCCACCACCTAATCCATCAAAAGGATGGTAAAAATTGTAAATACCTTCACATGGGTGCTAGGGAAGGCAGAGGTACGCAGAGTCTCTTGAGTTTCATCGAGCAATTTGCGTTTTGGTATGCTAAGAATGAAGGCTGCCTGATCAGCAGTAGCAGCCATAGATGTTATCCGGAAACCATTCTCCCATCGCCGATGAATACCTTCACTTGGGTACAAGTAGTCAAGCTCCACAACCTTGCATCATTAAATTGGAAAAGCAGGGCAATAAAATGTCATCAAGTATGTTCTATCCATAGGTTCACTAAATTGAAAATGACTCGTGCATTGGCCGAAAATTGAAGTTAAATACGATTAGACACCTGATCAGAATACCCTGCATTCCTGGACATAACAACACCCCATCGACTGCCAGCAGTGGTCATGGAGGTAACATGGAATCCTTCTTTCCACTTCTTATTGATCCATTTGAAAGGAAATGATTCACTTACTTTGTAGGACTGCTGGGTGTACGGAGTTCCTAGAATATAAAGACACTACCATAAGTCGATGAAGAAGCAATCCAAAAAAGACTCAGAACCATGCGTTGGTGGTGAAGTAACAATGACAAGTAAATTGGTGAGGTTTAAAGCAATTTATACTAGACGAATCTATAAAAGTGATGTAAACAAGGGAGTGGCCCTGTCCACTCATCAGACATTACTCAAAATTTTCATTATGCAGATAATCTTAATAATCATAAATGCTTAAACCTTTGGACATAACAACCAAGGAACTCCCATTTGTTGCACCAGCTATAGAACTAATATAGTAATTTTTCTCCCATTGCTCCATAATCCAATCCTGAGAAAATGTAAACACCATCAATATCAGTCATTCCAGTCACGCTGATTGCTCAAATGTAAATGGGAAAAAAAAAAATTAAAAATCAGAAACATCCACCTTATGCAAAAAGACTGGTGATAACTCATAGACCTGAGAGGAGAAACCCGTTCCTGCATCCATGGTTAGGGCCCAAAGATTTGATGAGGAGGCAACACAGCTGATATATAATCCATCCTCATTACCCTTGTCTACATGCTGTCGAAGCCTACTGTCTGATACATTATAGTGATATCTACAACAAAAAAATGGCCAAGCAAATGAAACCCGATTTCCAGGCAAATCAGCTAATGCATCATATAGACAGTCAATTTAGATACATTCCTCATAGGAGCTCGTAATTCATTAGTAATTGCACAGAATCATTGCTTTGTGTAAGACTTAAAAAGTGAACAGCATCATATTATAATTGCGATACTATTTAAGTCAGACATAGAAAATATAATTTAATTTATACATGTTTGCTTATATGCCATAAAAAATATAATCAGTATGTGTGACAGAACCTTACAAGAGTCTGCAAAGAAATTTCAGAAGATATCAGTCTCAATGTTCCCTTCACGATTATTCTCAGAAAACTTGCATGAGATGATTTAGTAAACTTTGTTGAAACAATTAGTAATGTTATACTTGTATTTCATAGCGAATATCTTTATCTATAGTAAGAGAAGGGACTGGTCAACTATACAATATAAATTATTCCCTGAATTTACAAGTTGTTGTTATATATTTTGCCTTGGACGTTCAATAAATGGTAAGTTCTAGATTTCGTATCCAATGACGAGGTGAAAGTTACAATATCAGGTATTGCAGGATGGCGATTGAGACTCGTAGAGGCAAAAAATGGGGTTGCAACATGCGTCAACAAATGGCCGATTCTAACTATAGCTTCATTTGTAAGAAAGACAAGTTTCCACATTTCAGGAGATGCCTACCACCAATATTTCTGACATACTATCTATCACCACATTTCAAGCCACAGGAAAGACACAAGCTGACTATCTAGGTAGTAAATTACAAAATCTAGTAGATTAGTACTTCCACAAACTTGCCTTAAGTTCTGGACTCGCAAAAGTACCACTCAATCTAGCAATAACACTCACCACAGTCCAGTGTTACCCCATCAGAATGAGATAATTTCATGCTCATCATATGGCATGGAAAAATATTAATAAGAACAGACAAATTGAGGACACAAACATCACCTCTGCTTCATGGGACGCCGTGCGTTATACACTGATATCCACTGAGTAGCAGGATTCCCCAATCGCACTTTCTTCTTTGGCAGCTCATCTTCTTCAAGATTTATAAGCATTCTGGCCCTCTTTTGTCCAGCCTATTCAGCAAAAGCTAGATTTATTATGTACAACCCAATAAATGATCATATGTAATGAATCAGCACAAGCAAAAAAAAAAAAAAAAAGCATATAATCGCAACCACCTTCAAGGCTCCATCAATTCTGATTGGTCTCAATTGAGAAGATGGTTCAATCAAGCTATCAAATAATGATATAAGCTTCGAATAGTTGGGCTCCTCATCAAATTTCATGTTAGTAACAGCTTCAAGGAACTGCTTGAAAGGAGGAGGACAAAGGTAGCACATCAACTCTGGAGAAGTGCCCATCTTTTTCTTACAAACAAGAAAACTTTTATTGTCACCCTGTATATTGAGAAAAAGAATGTAAGCAAAAATTATTCAAAATGAAACTTCTTAGAATTGATATATAAATTTAAATTATTAAACACACCTGATAACCCTGCCAAGGTAACCTCCCTTTTATAAGAAATATTAAAGTATATGCCAAGGACTCAAGATCGTCCCTCCTACTTCCAGTCCTACCTAAATGTGCATGTACACTGGCATATCTTATGGTTCCCCTGACAAAGAATGATGAAGAATGCATATTAACAACAATATGACAGCAAACAACATCTTAACAATTAACATCAACAGATTGACAAACCTAAACACGTCAGGCCTTTGATCATATTCAACATGTTGACCAGATGTGTCCTTCCATTTAGATGCTGAAGGCAGCACAAGGTTCAGACATTGATATATGGTGTAAA